ATTTTATATAAATTCTTTTGATACGATTTTAGTATTATTGATATTAATTCAGTATTCTATATAAATTTTGTTAATACTATTTAATATCATTTCGATACTTTATATAAATTCTATCAATACTATTTGGTATTGTTTCGGTATTTTATATAAATTTTATTGACATCGATTTATAAGTAATTGGTATCGAAATAACTTATATTGAGCGCCATCGGTATATTGTCAGCGCCATCTACAGAGTTTATTAAATCCGTGATTTTCCGGGGCTCAAAATATTTTGTGGATGAATACTAGTTATAGTTCGGCTAAATATGATTAGGTGTTTGTTTGTTACATCTCAAAATTAATGGAGAGGTTTGATGCTTGTTGCATTTTTATGAAGTATTGTTATTATTACTTTCTCTCATCCCTCATATCATCTGCATAGTATTGAAAATACTAGAAAACTGTCACCCTCTTATTCCCTCCCATCTTCATCTTCATCTTCATCTTTATCTCCATCTCCCCCCAAACCCCTCCCAAATACCAGTATCCACCTCACATAGTAAACCCCCTCCCATAAATCTTCTCCCCCAAAATCCTCAACTTCGCCGGCTTCATACCCTCCTTATAATGCTCCACAATATCACTCTTCCCCACCGCGCAATTAATATTATACCAAGCATCCGACCCCGCCATCCTCTCACGCAAACCCCTCTTCTCCTGATTCCACCATGTCGGCAAAATCCTCTCTCTCTTCTCCGCTAAATCCAAAAATTCCCTAAACACTGGTAGCGGATCTTGGTTATCATATATCCCCATTCCATTTCCCGCATATGCATTTTCATCTTCCATGCATATGCGGAAACAATCGATCAGTTCGCCAAAAACATCGGTTTCTGATGTCAAGTTGTAAAGATAATCGTTTTGGTCGAGATCCAGAATTATATTCATAGTATGGAATCATCCGTTGTGTCGTCCGGTGCCTGTGGGAGCGGCTCGAAGTTGCTTGCATTTGGATTTGTGGTTATTGTTGTTCCAGTCGTTCTTTTGGCATTCTTGAGAACAGTATTGCATAGGACAATTTGCACATTTGAATAGAGATTTTGGGAGTGTGTCGGCAGTTTGATAGCAATTTACACAGCTTAGGGTTTATGAGAGGGATCTCTGATCTGCCATTTTGATAGTTGGATGATTGGATGACTTGATGGCTTGATGGCTTGAAGATTTAACAGAGTACCGTGAGAATCTAAAAAGGATAACTGGTGAATAACTCCGGATTGTAGAAATGATGAATCTGTCTGTTGAAAGGGTCGAATCAGTGTTTTGAGGTTTGGTAAAACCAGAAGACAGGTGAAATTCGTTATGTTGACATGCTTTACGAGTATAGGGATCAGATATTGAGTGTTTGGGGGACGCGTATTGGTATGTGACGCAAACACGCGAGCACGTGTAGGTTAGTCCGTATGGGCCTATAATTGAAGTACTTTTATACCTACTAGATAATGCTTTTATAGGTTCTTAACTCAAAACGATTATTGAGTTTACTAATTGATCTCTTTGTTTACTAATCTGTTACGAGTATAATAAGTTGATATCACTAACTCTAGTAACTCTAATATAACAGAATTGTTTTAGAAAATACTCTATAAATAATCCAAAAAGAAAAAGAAAAAGAAAAAGAAAAAGAAAAGAAAGATTCTAAGGAATTTATATTATGAAAATTTCTTTCTCGCGATTGCTAGGTATTATTTTCTGAAATGACTTCATTATATTAGAGTTCATAGCATTGATTTTCTATAAGGGTCGGCAAAAACTACTCGAGTAGAAGCCAACTAGTATCTACGAGTATCTCCGAGAATGAATAGTTTCATTCATACTTGTAATAAAACATCACATTGATCACTATCATAGTTTATACACCTCATCACAACACCATCCATTGACTCCTCAACCCCAATCCATGTATGAGTATAGCATCATAGAAACTCCGATGAATCATGTCGAAAGTCCCGGCCAATCTACCAAATATAATCAGCTCAAACCCCATAACACACAACACCACCAAAGGAATCAACTTACAAAATCTCGTTCTTTCCTCATTCCTCTTGGAAACTCTGACCTCATCCCCAACCCTCAATACCTTCCCCTCATCCCCATTTCCCACAAATCCATATCTTCCAAAAATAGGACTATACTTCATTCCCTCATCTACTCTTCTATCTTTCATCAACAACTTTAATACCCCTTCTCCTTTAGGCGCTCCAATTCCTTTTTCATAATCGACATTTAGAGATACACATCTTCCGCAATTGGCCGTAAGGATGATTTCTTTGTTTTGAGAGGAACCAAATGTTAATCCACCCCAGTAATCTTCATCATATGCGGATTGCAAACCGGATATGATGATATTGGCGCGGAATTTCGTGATGTCCATTTCGGTATCGCCGGGTAAACGGTTTGAGACATCGACACATGAAGCTTCCGTGATAACGAGGTAGGGAGCACAGTCATTAAAGGCAATTTTCTCATCATCCTTCTTCGAAACTAGTGAGTTAATTATGGGCATATATTGCAAGAGTTTCTTGATGGGTGTTAGAATCATCGGACCATCAGTTGCTGGTCTTCCAGGAAGATTTCCAAGAACAAGTCGTCGGTTACTGCCAGCATAGGCGAGGATAACTTCATACCCGAAATATTTTGTAAACCATTCGTTGTACTTGGGACCCATGTCGTACGCGGAAGTTGAACTTTTATGCATATCGACTTCAACTTTGTTGAGATTGGAGAAGGTTGAAGGTGATAGCTCTATTTCTAATGTTGGACGTTCCTCGTTTGGATACTCGGCATAGTCAGGTGCATGATGGGTAATATAGAGAGTTGAGTGTTTGATGGATGTATGGAACAGGACCATTTCAGGGTGATGAGACACGTGCATATTTTGATAGCGACCCCATTTGGAGTCCTTGTTGTGGACTTTAAGGAGCATGAACTTTCGATCGTAGGCAAATCCATCTTTGGTGAGGGTGGCCGAGGGAAGAGAGCATCCTCTAATGGACTTTATGGGATAGATATAAAGCTTTATGCTGTTAGTTAGACGGTGCCTTTTGGAGAGGAAGCATCATATGCTCACCTGACTGATGGTCATTTCTGGACCAGATACCTGTATGACGATTATTACACAAACGGACAAGGATATCTCAACTCAGAAACACCTACCTGTTGTGTAGAAGCCGAGCTATTGCGTTTTCCACCTGCTAACATTGGCTCGGCGATATCTAGAATTCGATCTCTATCGAGTTCCCACTCCTTTTTATCCTCCTCATACTTCATTATCTCCGCCTTGTGCCACTTATCTTTCATCACATCCCTGATTATCAGGAAAGAGAAGCCCACCGTGATGAGAATTATCCTCAGGGGCAATTGACCCAAAAATGGCACATAGATCTCGCGGCAAAGCTGTATCATGAATATGTCATCCAGCCATTCATAAAGGAATTCCGAGATTCCCGTTCCTCCAGAGCTAGAAGTATTCATTGTCGCCATCATGATACACTGGAAACATTGAGAGACAATGAAGTGAAATCAACGATGAGACGAAGAATTTGATAGGAAGTCCTATCAGATCACGTTATTCGTTAAGCTGTCGTCGAGATGATGTACAAGTTGAGATGTAGTGTAACAATTGGTCGCAATCCGTCCCCTTTTTCGGATTGACTTTATCTGACGAATCAAAACAAGGCTGGATTCTATTACCTGATAGAGCGATTTTATTCTCTGAATCTCATCGAAGTATCTCCTCTTCTCTGCCACCATTAACTTCAAATTGCAAGTCTCTGGTACATCTCTTCTCAAGTTTCCCGTCAGCTTCAGGAGTGGATCTGTAAAGTGAGGTTGTGCGCACTTGTGATAAATCACGTGAGGGAACATACCTCGATGATTTGGTCCTTAGCCCTGAGCACCAAGTCAGTATTTCCAATTGGGTTACAGGTTTCAGGTGAGAACATAGACAAACTCATCTTTTTTCCTTTCCTTTCCTCTCCTCTCATCTCAACAATTCGATCACGTGTCTCAGCTGTATCATGTTCGGCTTCACTCACGAGAAAAGAAACACCTCCGTCTCCTTCCATGGATATACCCCGCTTTTCCTTAATTAGCTAAGTGGGATATTCCCCTCCACGTGCAATAACCATAGGACCTCATTCTCGTCCGAACTTGTATATCTGCAGGTGTAGTTTCGATTTTACCATTGTTGCCATTGCCATGCATTTCAATATATATCCCAGGGACTCGGTTCATACATGATAACATGTGTATATAAAAGGAGCATGAGTTCCTACTCTTGGCGATGGAGTACTTCAACTATCATTTTTTGATATCAATCATCATCATGCTTTCCCTAACCGTTTGGTTGAGTATTTTGTCGTTGGCGAGTGCAAGTCCGGGTCGTTTTCCTCGTGTCACTCCAGCTCCATATTATGATTCTCACTCAAGCACGGGATCTTACAGTGCTAGTTGGATGAACTATACAGCAGTACCGGGATTCTTTTTGCAGGATGAAGCAACGACTGTTTCATCGACTTTCGATTATGTATGGATATACCCTCATTCTCTGGGATCCTCAATGTGGAATCCCTTACCCGATTACACAAGTACCAAACGTAATCAAGCTAATTACATATACAGGCTCAATGGAACTTTGGTCTTCTCAACCGAACCTATCCAACAGACTCCCTATGCGCCAAAGATGCAACACAATGGCAGAAGTTTGAAAAATATGTTGATTCTTTGAACCACAAATCTACCAGAAATGTGAATTACAAGGTTTTGTTCATGGGGAGACATGGTGAAGGGTGGCACAATGCAGCTGAAACCTATTACGGGACTCCTGCTGTGAGTTCTTGCGATTCAGATATGTGTTGATGGATGGATTGTTAATGATGAATATAGTGGAATGTATGTGATTCTTTTGAGTACAGAATATATTACGTATGAAATGGAACTGATGGTTATAGTGTTATTATTCCGAATTGGATGGAAATGCCACCGTCACTGTCCGTTCCACACCCACGACCCCTTAAACTTATGAAGCGAAAACTAACATCTTTCAGTGGGCAGACGCACATTTGGATCCTAATGGAATTGCTCAAGCCCAAAAAGCAGCCAAGTACTGGCTCTCTCGCATCCAGCTCCAAAATATCCCACTCCCACAATCCTACTATACCTCCCCTCTATACCGCTGTCTCCAGACCTCCAACATAACCTTCTCCACTCTCCCCCTCCCCAAATCTCGTTCCTTCAAGCCTTTAGTCAAAGAACATTTCCGTGAAGGTATTTCCGGCCACACCTGTGATCGACGTAGTAACCGAACATTTATCCATGAATCGTTCCCCTCTTACAAAATCGAGAAAGGATTCTCAGAAAATGATCTACTATGGAAGGCACTTGAGGGTGAAGTTTCTACCGATCAAGATATTAGGAGTAAGAAGGTCTTAGATGAGGTTTTTGGAAGTAATGATCATACTTGGTTGAGTATTACGAGTCATTCGGGGGAAATTGCTAGTATTTTGAGAGGTATGTTGTTCTTAATTTCTCCACTTGGATTGTTTTTCCGCATTTACTCTCTATGCGAAATGGGAAAGCCCATTTCTCAGTGTTCTTTTGAGAGCAGGCATCAATGTCATCATGGGGGGATTTTGGAATCCCACATAGGAAAACTGTACAGCTGAATGGACTACCCAATCCCAACTGTTCCATCGATATCTCCCTACATTCGAGACTCATATAACTCCGCCATCAAACTGCATACAGTACTAACTCAGCCACACAGTTCTACACCACCAAGTCTTCAGCCTAGTCACTGGAGCCATCATCCCCGTCCTCATAAAGGCAGAGACTATTTCCGGAAACGCGACTTTGACGTCCTCTTTACCTGTGAGTCCCATACTCTTTTACATCTTTTCTCGTCTCCATTTATTGCAGGGCGGGTTATCCAGAATACTCGGTACTGACCAAGATAAATGTAGTGGACAAGTATATCAACTTGTACGAGTCCGCCGGTAAACACAGCTACTTTGTAAAACGGAAGAAAGCGGAAATTAGGGGGGGAATGAAAAGAGAAGGGCGACGGGCGTGGTAATGTTCATATCAAGTAGGCCCATTTACTGGTATAATCAATCATTAATAATAACCTAACCTAAATTACTTTCTATACCGTGTCCGCGCCTCTCTCCTCACAGACCTTTGTATCAAGAATCCCCAATATCGTCAAGCACTAGGTGTATGTGTCTTTCAAAGATAGAGAATGGATTGCATTTGTACTCGTACTCGTACTTGTTGTGTTTGCGTGGTGGGGATGTGAAGACTCGGAAGTGAAGATGTGAAGATGTGAAGATGTGTATGTGAGTGATTAGTTTTGCTTTTGGGGAGGGGAAAGGAAGAGGAGAGGAGAGGAACTATAGAGTACCATAATCGTAGATATACTCGAATATATAAGTTTTTTACAAGCACACCTACGATATTCTGCAATTGTAATGCCCAATTTTCGATTTTATTTTCCTCTTTTTCCTCCTCCTTCTTCTTCTTCTTCTTCTTCTTCATCTCCTTTAATTATCAATGACTTAAAGTACTTACTCGTATCACCGACCGAGCCCTCACAAATTATAATCACAATCTAATTCAATCCAATACGATTTGATTCAATTGATGTTGATATTGATATTATATTGATCTTGACAGTAACATAAGGAAACAACAAACTCGATATCATACCACCACAACAAAGACTTGTATTCTCAATGAACAATCCAATCAGCATGCATCTTATTAACCACTGCATACCATCTAATCCTTCATATCACATCACATCACCTTCTCGGTATTGAATACTGGTTGCTAATTTGGCGACTGTATGTATCGTTTTGGAGTGAGTGAGTGATGGGGATGGTATGCAAGTAAAGAAAAGTGAAGTAAAGGAAGTAAGTATAGCTTTGAGAAAACGCAGCGAAATGAAATGAAATGAAACGTGAAATGGCGTATAAAATGAAATGTCATATAAAACATCGCTCTCAGACTCGGATGGTGAGAGTATATACCTAGTATTTAGAGTATTGCACACAACTCCTTACCTCGACTCAACTCCTGCTCTTGAAGCCAGCCAAGCATCTTCCGAGCATCTTTCACGCAACAACATGCTTAAGATTGGCTTCGTTTCTCTTGTCTATCTAATCAACATATTGCCAAGTGGCGAAACCGCACCGCACACTCGCACGCACGTTCGAGATAATCGTTTGTCTGAGACTGAGACTCCAAGGAGAGGATGTGTTGTCGTTGCCTGCCTGAACCTTAACTTAATCGGCCATATTTGTGATTGCGATCGCTTGCCCAAACTTCTCAGTCAGATATTGAGTCTTTTCTTGGCAAATGAGTACTTACTCATTCATCATTTATCAATCATCAATTGCTTTCACAATTACCAGTCCTTACCCGTCCGTCAATTCATTTTTCATAACAACCGTGGCATAATTGTAAAAGAGTAACTTGAATATCCGTGCTCCTATCGTAGTATCGTGAGACGGTGAGACATTCATGCCACGACATAGACCGCTGGAAATGATCCCCAAAATACCAAGACATTTCCCCAACCCCCTTTCTATATTCTCCCCCGGTAATCGACAACGAATATACCGTCATCAAATTTCCCCTATCCGTTGCATATCGATTATCGATATCGTATCGATAGTGCCGGTAACTCGTGAGGTATCGATAGCATCAATGGCAAGACATATAAGCCTTATACGCAGGAGAATAGCGGATATTGTCTCTTCATGAACGATGAATGATACAGCTCACAGCTCACAGCTAAGTTCGGGACTCCACTTCACCTCTTTCACTGACTTTCAGTAACCCTCACCAACGTTTCCCCGTGTCGAGCCAGATCAGAATCCTTCGTTCTCCATTCTCCATCCTCCACAATTCCAACATCTTCCCAAACCTCCCTCTAGTACTAAGTACCGAGTAGTAAGTGGAGACCCCAACCCAAGAAATCCCAAAATGCGGATGAACTTGAAGATATGGACGGAACACCCCAAAGGGACCAAAAAGGGAAATCCCTCAAAGTTCCTCGGCGTGGACACTCACAATAGCGGATGTGGACACGGGCCGATTGTGTTCGTTGGCTCGGTGGAGCACGTTTCGTCAATGGAGTTCGCTTCGCTTTCAGGAGCGGTGGATGCGGCCCCTTCTAATAAGTTCTAGCTTCATACTGTATCTATGGCAGCCGGAAATATCTGCTACCAGCAGAAACGAACTAAACTGCCACTCACCGTGCCATTGTAACCGTACACCGCTCGCTGGAGCTCGCACGCGGTCTCGCTGTCGCTGTCATTGTACAAGCGCATACCGTAGGCCTGTGCCGGCACAATTAAGTTTGCATACTGCATTGCGCATTGGTATTACGAATAGTATGTAGTTTCAACATTTGAGAGGAAATTTGACGAAGATCTTCTACCCATCACCGAGACAAGATAAGACAGCGTCGCAGCAGCGAAACACCAATTTCACTTCAGTTTTCGGTCTTCCGTCTTCAGAAAAGGTCAAGAAAGACCCTCACAAGCTTTTCCCCCCAAACAGTTACACGCACGCACACATGCACACAAGAAGTAAACAAACAAGCAACCCACCATAGCTACACACATTAATCTCCCTTCTGCATCTCTTCTACGGAGTACAGAGTAGACTTTAGTTCTAGCTCTGGCTCTAGCTCCAGTAAACAACAACAAACAAACAAACAATCCATGCAGAAAACGGATCCATCTCCGCTGTGGACCATTGATCCCTCCTTCCTTTCGTGATATTTCCGTACATAGGCTCCATTTTTAAAGGTACGCGGAGGAGATAGTGTCTGGGTATCTGGGTACCCTGGTATCATTAAGCTGAAATTCTGCCTCCATATATCGTGAGCGAGACAGGGGAGAGACCCTGTAATACACACTTGTGCCTGAGTGTTTCCCCTGCATCTGTCATTGTCGTTGTAATTGTTTCTTTGGTGATTTTTGTTGTGATGTATTGTATATTTCAGGATTTGAATTCGTCATTTGTTATTCGTAAAACGTGATTCATGATTCTCCTCTCCTGACATTGACACTGACACTGATATAACACGTTCTGTACAGTGTACAATTGTAATGAAAATACTATATCCACCGATAGATACTCGTAGATAAATTGATGGATAGATGAATGTAGCTGCAGCAAGTAGCAAGCTAATTCCGTACCTGCCTTAACCATCTTTCTCCCCCCTTCCCTCTAATTTTTAACATCTAATTCCTAAATCCAATCCAGTCGAATCAATCGCAAACCAGCGGGTCTAAACAATGAATATGTACAGTCTACTAAGACCAAAATGGGATAACCTAGGAACCGATTCCGTGAGGAAAAATTTCATACTGTAATATAATGTGGAGATTCAATTAAATTCTCTTTTCTCTTTTAGGTATAGGATTGTATAATGTACGGCGGACTGTATGATACAATGTAATCGAAGGATTAGATAGATTGCAGTCAGTCCCATCACGATAATAATAAACACAAATGCCAGTAAGAAGGATTAGCCAATCTACTCGAGTAATAACCCTTATTATAAGGCGGTTATTTGTGTAACGTTTGACTAGACAAACCTAAACCCAGGTGGTTTGAGTAAAGGGAGTGAAGATCAGTATCAAAGAGACAGAGATAGAGAAAGCCTAGAAGAGGATAGAAGAAAGGCTAGAGCTAGAGTGACAGAAAATGAATGGAGACTTGAAATTAAAATTGCAAAGGAAGAAAGGTAGTTAGTTGATCACGGCAAATGATCTTCATATCACATCTTATCCGAGGTCAGGGCGGAAGATACACAAAAGAATAGTGCACAAATTTTATTCAGTTACAGTCACAATCACAATCATAGGGCTTGACATGATTAAGGCATGTTATCAAGATATTTTAGAAGATCCTTTGATTTCTGTCTAGCTATATACATTTATTCATCCATTCTCATCTTCTCGTACCCCAAAAGAAACCCTATGCCAACCCATCTACCCATCTATAGGTGTAGTGTAATAATATCCAAACATAAACATAAAACATAAGTAAAAATCTCGCATCTCGTAATAAAAGTCTATAAGTTGTGGTAAAAGATATATGGATTAAGGCGAGACGACTATATTAAAGGTATATAACGACAAAAGTGACTTTGGTGCTAAAACAATGAAATTTGCAGTTCTGTACAGTACAGGCAAGGCAAACTTGATTGACATGATGTTTGTTGCGACCACAGTAACAATGCCGAATTGATGGTGACGAGGATATTAGGAACGCCTATTCTTCTCCATATTCCCCACCCGAAATGCTTTCAATTTTTTTGTATGATTTTGTGATTTTTTCTTGTTATCAAAATCTCTCGTCTATTCGAGAGAGTGAACACCCAGATGAGGTGTTAGATGATCTAATCATCGTCCTCAACCTCGGCTTGCTTCTGAACAATGTGGTAACGGTGTACACCGTCGACCTGGGAATGTTCAAGAGCGACCTTGGAGAGATGGGCGATGATGTTCTCCATTTGGGTATCGGCGTGACTGCGCTTGTTACGTCCAAGGTTGTCCAACCACGACCATTGGTTCATTAGGTAGTAGACAATGGCAGTGACAATGGTGACACCGATAGAGAATCCCCACACGATGACAACAGTGACGATAGATGTATGGCCGTTCTGGGAGAGGAGTTCGTTGTGGGTAGCTGGAGAAGATTGTTCACCGGCCTCACCGCACAACCAACCGAAAACACAGAAGAGGGTTGCAAGAACATCGACCGCAAAGATGGCGAGAATCAATTGGAAAGATGGCCAAGTGTTTCCACCACGAGTGACGAAGATGAGCCAATTCTCAGTGAGGGATACTTCCAAGAAGAGCATACCTTGGATGGATCCAAAGTTCTCGATGAAACCACCGTTGGGCAAGAAGAGAGCACCTCGCATGACCCAGGTACCGAGGGCAAGTAATATACCAAGAACGACAGAGATGATCCAAATCTTTGGCAATTGCCATTCGACTGGGCGTTGTTCGAAGTGAGCGTTATCGTAAGCAACCGCAATGGTAGCCAAATCAGCGAACAGGGCAAGGAAGACAATGAGCTCGACACGGATAGTCTCGTTGATAATAACCATGGAAGTAACCAAGTAGATTTCCAAATGAAGACAGAGAGCAATACGGTATTGAATGTAAGCCTTCATACGTTGGAAAATTTGACGGGCGATCTTGATGGCAGAGACGATAGTGTTGAGACCAGGGGCAAGGAAGACAATATCAGCGGCGGCTTGAGCGGCTTCAGTGGAACCCTCGACAGCAATACCACAGTCAGATTTCTTGAGAGAAGGAGCGTCGTTGACACCGTCACCAGTCATGGCGGTCAAATGTCCACGTTGTTGCAACATCTCGACGACTTGGTACTTGTGCTCAGGGAAAACTTCGGCGAAACCATCGGCGCGCTCAACCAAATCGTGTTGAGTGGTACCGGAGAGACCACCGTGAATGAGTTTGTCAGAGTTGTAAACCTTGGTACCGAGAGCCAACATCTTGCAAGTTTCCTTGGCAATAGCGATAGCGTCACCAGTTAACATCTTAACGGAGAGACCAAGAACTTGAGCTTCGGCGATAGTAGCGGCGGTATCCTCACGGGGAGGGTCGAACATAGGAAGCATACCAAGTAATTGCCATGGGCCGTTACCTTCCTTGACAGCAACACCGAGAGAACGGAAACCACGACGAGCGAACTCAGTGACCTTGGACTTGTACATGTTGGCGACATCAACGGAGCAATCGGACATGTTCAAGATAGCCTTAGGAGCACCCTTGGCACAAGTGTAGGTGACACCATCCTTGACAACGATAGCAGTAATACGCTTGGAGACAGGGTCGAAGGGAATGAATTTCTCAGTTCTCCAGCCTTGCTCGAGGATCTTGCGTGCGGCCGGGTAACGCTTAAGGGTGAGAATGGTGACTTTGTCAATCGGATCCAAAGACTTGACGTTGTGGGAAGAAGCGAGAGCGGCAACAGCCATCATCCAGTTGACATCGATACCTTCAGCGACGAATGGTTCACGGATGGACAATTGATTGGCAGTAAGAGTACCGGTCTTGTCAGAGCAAAGAACGTCAACACCAGCAAGGGACTCAATAGCGGTAAGCTTTTGAACGATGGCTTTCTCCTTGGCGAGGTAAGCAGCACCGACAGCGAGAGTGGTGGTTGTGACGACTGGAAGACCGACGGGAACACCGACAATCAAGAGGATGAGTGCGTAATGGAGCAAGTTCACGGAAGAGTGCTCTGGGGTAGCTAGCTGCAAGTGATGGAAGAAACCACCAATCCAGGCAATCAAGATCCAACCGACGACCAAAACCAACAAAGATGTACCGATGGAGTTCATGATAGCCTTGAAATGACCTTGGTCTTTGGCACCAGTAACGAGGGAAGCAGTACGACCAACGAAAGACATGCGTGCGGAGTGAGTGACGACGGCGTAAGCCTTTCCACGCTTGCAACCAGTTGTGTAGTAGATAACATCGGCGACGTACTTGTCGACAGCCAAGGATTCACCAGTCATGGCAGATTGATCGATAGCGAGGAGAGCGTAACCAGAACCGTGTTTTCCACCGTGGGAGTCATCCTCATCATCTTCTTCCTTCTCGCTCATCTCGTGGCTGCGTTGGTTGAGGAGTTCTTGTTGATAAGTTTCATAACCGGTAGGGTCGTCATAGGCGCAGATGATTCTGGCATCGGCGGGAACAACATGTCCATCTTCAATAATAATCTGTTGGCAGCAAAGTCAGCAACGTGATCGCGCATTGACGCGGTGTCCATGTGGTGTAACTTACAATGTCACCAGGGACCAATTCACGAGCCAAGATTTCGACTTCTCTTCCATCACGAACAACAGCAGCCTTCAAGGCGATATCACCTGGAATCGAGGTCAGTAACTAGACTATGAAGCATGAAATGACGCGATGACATACCCTTCAAACTGGCGACGACATCGGCAGCTTGCTTTTCTTGGTACCAACCGACGACAGCGTTAAGCAAAAGAATACCGATTATAACACCGAAATCAATCCAATCCCGCAGACCAGCGGCGAGGAGGACAGCAATTTCCATAACTATAGCGCATGTTAGTATGATTCATACACAAAGATCGTTGATCGTAACGTACCATATAGCACAGGACCTCTGAAGAAACCGATGAACTTGATGAACAAGCTCTCATTCTCAGTGGACAATTCGTTCCATCCAGTCTTCTTACGACGGGCTTCGACGTCTTGATCGGAGAGACCTTGTCGCATGCCAGTGTTGAGCCAGTCGTCTGGGGTCTCGAAACCCTCTCCATCAGGGCCACCAGCCTTCTTCTTGCTGCCGAAGAAACCCTTCTTCTCTGGTTCCTCAGCCTCAGCGGCAGCAGCGTCCTTTTCTCCCTCTTCTCTGCCCTTGTATAATGAGATATATCGAACGAGTTGGCCATATTCTCCGAGTTTTTCGTTTTCGTACTCTGGTCTGGCCGCCGGAGCGCCGTTCTCAACATCTCCCTGAGCCATTGCGATTGTGGTGGTAGGATATGAAGCAAATATTATTATTAACTCCTACCGTGACAATGACAAACCGAGTAGACTGAAAAGAAAAAGGAATAGAATTGGGAGGACACGAGCAGATTATATATCTAGTAGACTAAGTGTGATCAACTATCCTAGTCCCAAGCAAGATCGGGTAAGGTTGGTTTTCATTTTTCTTCTTCTCCCTTCGGCGTCATCCTCGGACAGTAGACACAGACAATTTTGACGGCATGACTTGTGAACTGCAATGAGAATCAACTAGGGGGCCTTGAATTAGATTCATGGGTAAGCTTGAGCAAAAAAGCGAGTTCTGGTCTGAAGAGGGTCTGGGGCAGAAACCAGCAACGGGCGGTCTTAGGAACCTTTTTCCTATCGGTTTGAATTGAGTTAGGAAAGGTTACCGTAATGAATAGATAAGTGGATGTTAATACTTAGCGTTATGATACTTGGTGGTGGTTTGTTTTGATTCTTGGTGAGGGATTTTCGAATGATTTCCTGAAGCTCCATTAAAATTTAGATCTTAGCTAGACCCGGCTTAGCACTTGACTACAGCTCCCCATTGAGTAAGAATTCTTTCAACATCCGACCAAGATCCTTGACTGATTAACCTTTGGCTTCTTCCTTATGTGTGTACCTGGTAGGGAAAGCCGAGTTATCCAGTATATCAATCTATTGAAATCTGATCAGCTACCCCCGACTAGGTAGCATTATCAATTTACCGGGTCTTGGTGCAAATGATCTTGATAGGCCAATAAGAGAGCTCTAAATTGAGCTGTACTTGGATTATATTACTCGAACAAGGTGCCTATCTTGGTACTACCGGTACTCCAGATCCTTGCTTTGAAGTTCGCCAGGAGATCTTGAAGCTATTTCGAAGGGGCGACGACAAGCTCAACTCGAGTGGAACTATCATATGAATCGTGTGAGCATCATGTGATAAACATACAGTACCGTCATTGACGAATATCAACGAAGCAGGAAACAACATATTCTCCATTTAGCTTAGTTCAATTCATTCAAATCAACTATCTAGGTTCAAGTTGGGTCCCCCCTAGTAAATGTATCGGTGAGTCGGAAGCTTTGTCGGCTCAGCGAATAACGACTCTCCATTGTCAGATAGGAAGTTTATCAATTGGCCAATCAGTGAGCCAGATGATCTATAGGTATGACAAGAAAATTAATGCAATCAAGAAACTCAGATAACTGATCGCATTGTAAAATCAGATACATCAACACCTTCAACTTCACTACGAATGAGTACCAAGGTATTATCATCATATGGTGAATAGAATGAGATCGGTGGGCAATAATCCAGTATATCAGAAACTCTAAAGTTAGCCTCATATACAATTGCAAGATCTCGATGCATTACGAGAACCATTGCATCTGCATCTGCATTATGCATGATCATATCGTAGAAGATTTTAGAAGGCACAACGAAGTGTTCATTCTCCTGGTATATTTACATTTATTAGTTAGAAACTCAAGGCTGGAGCAAGAGAGACATGCCCTACATCTTGTCTCACCTCCGTACTCAAACATCAATCACCAAAACAACCTACTACAAGTCTATTCCTTCCCAGCCTCCTTCAATTGCTAAAGGCGTTTTGAATCTAACATGGAACAACATACATATCGAATTTCCCTTTTACTTTGCTTTCTTTTTCTCAATAATCGAGAGACTGAGAAACTTCGGAAAGTACTTGTTATACTTTCTTCTATAGCTATGGTTAACCTGTTATATGAATTTGTTGTCAAATCTCTCATCTTCTCGATTGCCAGCTCACATCAACCTGCAAGAAAAGCGAAATGAGAAACCCATTTCATGATCTTCATAATTTCCCAAATCATAATTTTATACCCTTAAATCTTACCTCTCATTGGATAACAACAGTCTTCGAGATTAATGCTCCAATAATTATTTACAGTTGGTTGGCGGGTAAGACGGTTTGATTGTATGTATGGGGCATGTATATTGCGTGCGGTAGGTGATGGCTATTGCGGGATGAAATCCAGTGCTGGGACCTAGGCTTGGACGGGGTGCCCGTAAGTAAGGCCAGGTGAAGAACATCAACATCAGGGTTGGAAAGATTGAAATCGGGGCTTTAAATTTGAAGCCTTGAAATTCTTTGGCTTTTAGGAATAATAACCGTATCTACTACCTGGTAGATGAGTTTCATTATGCTGTATCTGCTGTTGCTTTTTCTCCAAGGTTGAACGTTATTTTATTGCTGTCAAACAATTTGAAGAATTGGAGAATTTTGTCAAGTTCTTCCCTGCAGAATCACGATATGTAAACTCAAATAACGTGGGATTGATATTGGAAAGAACTCTTTTTCAAATGATTTCAATTGCATCTGAGTCGTTCAGGAGACCTCCAAGACTCCAAGACACTGCAACGGTTGCAAACCTACTCAGGTTCTTCCATCCCTTTTCATCGGCATTGAATATTACTCGGTATTGATTGTCGCCAAGATGATATTCCTTCTCACCACGGAGCACCTGTTGTGTTGGCCAAGCACCAAGTCGTCTTGTCTTCACCCAGGAGCACCGGAGATCTTCACCTCAGCCTTTTTTTTTAGAAAAACGCAAAAATATTAAAATGATTGTTTGAAACTTAAAGGGATTTTTCGCAAAACTAGAAACAATCAATGCCACATCCCACATAAGACGGATAGGTTGAACGCCATAAACGCCACGAGTTTATCCCACACGCCTACGCCGAAATCCGCTACACGTTTTTTTTTGTCGCACTTTGAACAATTCTCATTTTTCCCCCTTCATTTCTCGCTTCTACGATTTCCCTCCTTAAATCATTCATTTGCCCCTTTCACCTTGCCCCTCCACATAAATGTCCCCTCACCGTACCTGACTACATCGCAATCATCCCACTCAATCGTCGCCCCCGGCATCGCGGCACGATAGGATTGGCGCTAAATGACGTTACTGAGGCCTGCTATTCAATCTCTCTCCTGTAATCGTGTTTATCTCTACAGAACCGTGCAGGTCTTCAGCGGGAACAATTGAGACAAGTACGGAAGTATTATTGCTGGGATCGTGAGATCTTGCATGTAATTACATAGGAATGACTAGGGAAACCTGGGCGAAGATGGGAACTAATTATCTAGGTAAAGCTTGATTGAGGAATTGACACTTTGGAGGTGGAGATGCATTGTTGACTTGAATTAAAAATTATGTATACAGTAATAGCGATTAGAATTGTCTTGTAAATGTTGTGGACAATTCAACCAGCGAGTCTGGGCAAGACACAGAGTGAGAAAGATCTAGTTCACCTCTCACCGGTACTCGGCTTATGGTCCCCCCAAAAAATACTGGAGAAGAATCAATAAATAATAATATAGAACACGGAAACAGAAGAACGCGAATATATCCACCTCTCTGCATGCATACCCTTTGCAAGCAAGTCGAAAAGACGCGACGAAACTACCAACTGCACATCGGCAGCCTCATCCTTCTCTTGGGTAATAAAACGATGAATGAATAAGGAAGGATGTAAACATCCTTCCACGATTCAAAACTTCTGTGGCTCAGAATCTTGTCTTTGGAAATTAGGTCAGCCTGTCCAGTGTCCAGTAAGCGCTTTCATCTTCGCCATCCATCCACTTTTGATAGACACTTGTACCATAATACCGTGATACCGTAATAGCCGTTCAATTCCCTCAAATTCCCCATCGCAATCATACTTGACGACGTAATTCTCCAAACTTGATCCGATTCGATGCTCCCGAGTCCCAATAAAGCAGTACCGTCACATCCATATTCATCCCATCGCCAAAATCTCGGAATTATTGCCGTCGGTTCCAGCGAGCGCCTAGAACTAAAAATACTTCGGATTTCCTAAGTAAGCCTTATGGACACAACATGATGATTGCGACACAATGAGTTCTGGGCATGCTGATAGTTGACGCGGCACTTGCTTGGGAGTGTATTAAGTTTGACCCTGAGCTGTTATTCGCGCAGTCCGCTGCGCTGTCTCCTTGAGGATGAGACAGCCAATTTTGGTAGATGATTAGCATTTAGCAAGCTCCTGGTAGGTCAGCTTCGATATCAATCATGTAATATCTTGCCGATGACGAAATACATCTCCTTTAACGCGTTCATTCAACAACACAAAACTTCATTGAGGCTATGAATCATATGGCTAACTAACACCATTTACTCCCCATCCTTTGCAAAATCTCTCTGATAGGTATCTCGCCCACCCTCATAAACTTCGGGGAAATAAATTAACAATCAGGGATTATTTACTCTTGTTTCTCTAAAAGGGCCTTTGGGGTATTCCAAGAGCTCCGTATTTTCCCCTTGGGGTAATCAGCTACCCCATGGATATTCACTGAGACCCATTCAAGTCTTGGTTTCTGCTCGCCAACTCTCCTTATTAGTAAGACTACCTACACACCGTAAAATCCCCAGTAAACTCTTATTTGCCTTGTAGCGGTGGAGTTTTCTTCTCGCAGATTGATCCTGATTTCCGCGTTTGGTTTATGGTTTAGTTTCGCCGGATTTGAACCCTGCAGAATCTAAAATGCTGCAAATGTAATGTAACTCTTTACCTACCCAATGGGGCAACTTGCGGATGCGAAGGTTATTTTGATCACGTGAGAAGATGATATACGAAGTGCGCCTCTTCATTTCTTTTGGGGGCGACAGGTACGGAGCCGGGAGTAGTACGTACGTCAGAATCTGATCGGAATCGTGGGCCCTGGTCTGGTCTTGGAGGGGTATTATATCCCTCATTTACAAGGGTTCGGGTGTGACAGGCACGCGAGCGAGAAGGAAAAAACATAACTTCATGTAATGATTTGATTGATGTGGTCAGAATCCGTAAAGTATGTAAGTCAGAGTGAACCATTGGCAGTTTACGAGTTTGCCGCCGCCGCTCATCTTCCAAGCTCAGCTTCTCATCCATCTGCATTTGAGTTGGACTTGGCCTGCAAAGTTTTGGTTTCATTGCTTCCCCCGAGTTGAATTCAAACGCATTCTGCGACGATCCCAATTCAATCCCAATTCGATTCCAAAAACTATTTTGGTGGTGTGTGATACGTACGACCTTCAAAGTTCATACGTGCTCATTTCTAGGCGTCTCAAGCCTATTAAGCCAAGAAGTCATGGCCTAAAATTGAGAAGTTTAAGTTTTTTCTAGCCTCCAAACAAGCACCCACCGGTCAAGCCGACAGAGTGATCGATGAGACGAAGAACAATGTTCATCTTACTACTGCATGGAAGAAATTCTTGACAGGTGGTGTTAATATTGCAATTCTTCCAATGACGATTAAGCAAAGGATGATTTACTTTTGACTATCTACTGTAGTTTCTTCACTACTTGGGTGTTTGGGATGGGTTGATGGGTGCACGAGCACTACAAACCACTACAAACCACTGCAAAATTAGGCGAAAATGAAGGGGAAATCCTCGGAACCGTTTGTTAAAGTTTCCAGTTTCCTCCGATACTGATCTACTACCTCGACGGCATTACGATGCGAAAGTACAGGCACCTTTTATGGCCATGAGTGTGAGAGTTTGAATGTCTCTACGAAATTACGGATGCACGATTAACAGTTAACTCCAAATGCCAAGAGATATGTTCATTCTCGTGGTTTGATAGACTAAGTTTATTGGGGGAACAGGATCTTGGAAGCACTGAACTCGAGTCAAGTCAATGAGTACGGTAGGGCACGAAGCTACTGGGGAAAGCCTTGAACAAGTTATTAGATCGCGCTTTGATCGAAAATGTCCGAGGTCGGCAGCGGGAGGGGCTGCAGAAAGAGCTAATTGAAGGGTGTATGTTTCCAATTGACCATTCAATTTTCAAACCCCCTCCATCCTGAAAATTCAAGAATTCAAACTAGATTTCATCAAATGCCGTCTAGTCGCTTCTTTCATCTCTCCTTTGGACTGACATTAATTTTTCTCGTCGTTCGTTCGTTTCATCTTCTATTTTGTCTCTCTAGCTGCTTTACTCGAGTAGTAAAATTGATTTGAAGGCACATTATTCACTTTCTGTATAGGGATCAGACGAGAAGTTTGATATTGAACCTTGGATTCTATGCTACTGTACCGTACTACTATATGAAATTCGACATGATATGACAGACTAAGGCGATATTACAAAGAACCATGATTGATACCCACGGAGTACGTGTTACAGTATTCTAAATTCGGATACTCTTCTTATCGCGACAAGTGTTTCAATTCAATCGCATATCAGATTTCAAAACTCCAAGGGACAAAAGGGTGAGAGAAAAAAATATGAATCAAAAAGTCAATATTTCACAGCAGCTCTACAGCATATGTTTAGGACCGACTCAAAATATACTAATCTCCAGAAATAACATCACGATCAAACTCCCAACAAAACACTCAAGTACCGACGAGGGTTTACTAGTAGCTCTCGCCTTCTCCCCGCCATCTATTCAAGTTTCAACCCCATCATTCTGAATCTTCCAAGAAAAGATTTTTATATTATATGCTTGGCAAAAACAACTCCGTCTATATCGAAACTGCAAGTCGATATCGGTCCGGCATCTGGACAAAAGATGAAAATCGAAATAGGTACGCATTGAGCAAAATGTTTTATGTTTCAGTACAGTGCTATTCTCGGTGCTATTCTCAGGGTACAGTACGGTATTAACGTGCGCAATCTAAGATTCTGATTCCAATTTATTGAAATACAATATCATATCATAGGTATTCACGCACGCGCAGGGAACGGTTGAGATGAAATGAAATGAAATGAAATGAATTGAAGCGTGCGGTCGTTCGTGCGCACGGGAGTCTGGATTTTGTGATGTGCATATTCTTTCGGAAGTAGGTTGGCTTGGACTCAGCGGGAGGACTACTCGCTCGGTCCTCGTTGGTGGTAAGGCGTGCCGAGTGTTTCGGGTTTTTCTTGGGGGGCGGGAGGGGGAGGAAGTGGGAAGTGAAATTGAATAGTGGATGATCAATGGTGATCGGTGGGTTGGGGTGAATACCAGTATGGTGAGTAGTGAGGATTGGGGAGTGAGGAGTGGGTTTGCTAATGTGAGGTGTGAGGTGTGAAGTGTGAGGTTTGGAATCAGTGATCTTTGAGAGTACGGATGAGGTTTGATTAGGCGGTGGCTTTTGTGTCTGGGAGTTGTGGGAGTAGGGGCTTGATGAATATGATATTGAGGGTATGGGTAAATGGCGAGAAGGAGCTGTGGCCAATGTCTGTGTTTCTTATGAGGGAAACTATTCGAATTTGGGAGAGTTGTTTTGACAGGTGTACGAGTAGTTTTGTTCAAGCAACACTCTAGAATTGAGTCTAAATGGTATTCTTATACTCGAGTATTTATATCGGAACTTCACTCCACAAGCTCTACTCGTACTACCTGAATTTTCAATTTACATAGTAAATATCAAAGGGTGCCATGAATGAAAAATGCTAAATTCATATATCGTCCTATACTTATCATCATCATGAATTTCCAAAAACTTTAGATTCTTCAATGACACTGTCGTTAGACTGAAGTCCCAAGGCAGTTTCTGATTACGTGAGCTCTTGTTACACAGAATTGCCCCGCATCGCATTACAAAGATGAATGTGAATGGCATTCACTCGTACAGGAAATCTCAACTTCTGAATCTGTGTATGGATGGATATGTGAAGATTTGATAAGCATCAATTACTTTCACCATATCTCTCGCCTTCAGATATTCTCGAGATTCTTTCATGTTTGACTTTCTTACGTTTGACTGTGATGTTCTGTGTATATTCATTCTCTCAATCTTAATGGGCGAGATTGTTATCCCTCTGTTGGAAAATCACTCATCTTGTCGTAAAAAGGTTGAAATCAGGTGGTATATCCCTCGGCCGATATGAATACCACGCGGATGGAGATGACCTTACAGTTAGGGTTCATAAGAATTGGAAGATCCCACGTAAATCGTACTGAGTTTTCCATGAGAGAAACCCAGGTGTCAAGCAGCAAACGTTCAACCTCACCACATTCTTCCTCGACTGCGGAAATCCACTACAATCAGGGAAGTTCAGGTCAAGAATTCGCATTCGTGAACTCATCTTCCTCCCCAGGAATTAAAACAGATATCATTGTACGAAAGTTCGTACGGAAGCATATGAGGAATGATTACCTTAGCAAATCGACTCGGAAAAGTAAAGGGAGTCCGAATGTCCGTTCGACATCTATAAAACCCTTCGCGGAACCTCAGTCAGTGATGGCGTTTGATGCTCATCAGCATCATGGTATTGTTATTGAAGATCCTATCGGCTTTCCAACCACGCTCAGCTTATCTCCATGACCTATCGAGATAACATCAAAAACACATCGGTTGCTGAGCAGATATTTTACCCTCGTTAGTTCGAGAATGTATTTTTTATCTAAATATCTTTCCTCGAATCCTCTGTGTTCAGATGAATGGTTCCGCTTTACATTCAACGATGCAGCGATGTTTCATGCCATATTATATGCGGGCGCGGTTTACCTCTCTTCTCCAGGGTGGAAAGGACTCGGAAGATTCTGTATATCGTCTTGGGAAGACTTTAGAAAAGGTCAAGGACAGACTTCAGAGTGGGCATTCAGCAGACGATAGTACTATTGCTGCTTTTTCCTGTATAGCTTTGGGAGAAGTATGTTTAGATCTTAGTATCAAACCTTGGTATGTATTTGATGTCTACTAATAATTTATCAGGCAAACACAGGTCACCCAAATCTATGGCATATTCATATGCGTGGTATACAACAAATGGTGAACTTACGAGGCACGATGTCATCTTTTCCGATTATTATACAGGCAAAGCTTCGTCGGTAGGTCCTACAGAAAATAAAGGAAATGGAATCTGACTGTCTTGGAGATCTGATATCACGGGTGCGATTGATTATGCTACTGTGTGCGTGAAGTACCTGTGCAGGTAGAACTTAGAACTTTAGAGATTGATGTTTCTGAATGATTTCGTGGCTCATGATAAAGTTATCTGCAGCGCAACCATATTCACTCAATGCGGGATTCATCCAAAGCTCATAGAAAAAGGCAACATCTAACCATCTTCTACCAATCCATTCAAATCGCCTCCTTATCCAACATACTTCTCGACCCAAAGGAATTTTCCAATGATATTTACTGGATTGAGTACGAATTGCTGTCTTTTCCCTCATCCATAGAAGGAAGTCATGAGTCGGGTCTTGATAAAGCAACTCGTATCGGAGCTCTAGTATTCGAATTTCCACATTCCACTACTAGTCCTTCGATCCTATTACAACAATTACAAGCAGCTCCATCCACAATTGACACCGCGATAACCACCGACCAAATCCTTCAATGGCTGACTTGGTTATTTACCATTGGCGCTGTTCACAGCAAACGGGAGTCCATCACACGCACTTGGTTTATGGAGCAATTGGCGGGGTTGCATATGGAGCGCTTGGAGAGCTTACTAGTTGAAACTTGACGGGCGCCAACATGCAGAGAAGGATGTAAAAGACGAAGAACAAGTCCATTTGTGGGGAATCTTGGAGCTGCAGAAAGTCATTGGAGAGAATGTTCTCGGCCTGCTTTGGGATGATGGTGCTCGATGGAAACGAGAATCTTACAGTTTGGGGGAGGGGAACCGGAAATTCCGGGCCTGAGGTTTCTTGGGGGCTGACTACTTGGTACTGACAGTTCGGTACATACACATACCGGGTATACAGTATCGACAATAGAGTACCGGTAATAACATCATTACTCTAGTACGGTACTCATACATCGATCTCTTGATTCAAGTAAACCGAACTAAATCATGCCGTATGACAGAAGTAAAGTAAACTGGATATACTTCGGTAGATGGTAACCTTACAATACACCCTGTCCACACTAAGAATGTTCTACGGCTTCTAATATTCTTCTATCCTTCTAGAGTATTACCCAAACGAGTCAATTAATATAAATTTCCACCTATATACGAGTATTACGACGTGGCAATTCTCGTTTGTTCGCCTCAAGAATCTGATTCCGCGATTCCAGTGGAGATCATAAACGCATGTAGGGACAGCGGTTGTACATCTCCGGGGACTGCTACTGTATTATCTACGGATAGAACTATAAACATTGTTATCCAATTATTTCCATTGGAGCGTTGTGATTAGTATAGTAGTAAGATCTTACTGTATGGTCGGACTTGCCTCGGGGACTCCATAAATTTCTGTCGGAGAAACATAATATAATGGATGGGCCGAGTGGTGCCATTGCAATGCCGTTCTTACCGCGTTGTACTTGTAGAAAATATGTTTTAAAACTTATGAGTGAGGGATTTACAGAAGATTTATTACTGGGATTCACTTCTTTCGCAGACTCGCAGTTGTATTTTACGTAGGTGCGTTTCGAGAGCCGATTGTTCCGAATTTTTTCCGTCTTGATTCTGGATTCTTGATTCGATCGGTAGAGTTATAAATGGGGTGAGACGGGGAGGGGAGTTGAGTGAGCCTGACTTGAGGTGAGATGTGTCGGTAGATGATTAAAAAGGGTAGGAAATTTTCTCATGTTACCGGCATATTGAATACGATATTGAATATTGGACAGATGTTAATAGCTGAGTTCCAGAGTTCCAGAGCTCTAGAGGGCCCGGTTTCGGCTGAGATGTTAGAACCAGTAGGAAATATGGAAATATACCTCAGTGGATACGCCGATACGGTAACGGATGTACAAAGATGATTTATTAGATGATTGGAATATTGTACTGTATTGAATTATAGCTTGTTCCATTTTCCATTGCCAATACCTACTCAATAGAATCGGATAGATGGGGAAAAATGGTCTAGATTTCGGTTTTAAATATTATGAGGTACAGTAAGTACTGTACCGAATCTCGCGACGCGAGATGCATGAAGGGGTAATGAAGAAATCATGAGATGGAGATGAAACTTTGTATATATCTCTTTTGGATTCGACGTCGCTTATATTACCAAAATCAATTACTGTATTGTGAGCGATTATTGGTATCTACAGTAAAGTAAGTCTTACCTATTTTACCGTCAATCGAAGGGACTTAGACAACCAAGGAAGGGACTCCTGAGTTTTGAGATTTGGAAATTGGAATTTCTCCTTGATTGAAAACGAATTTACTATAGTTAGCTGCATTAATGTCAAGTTGTCAACTGCAATCAAGGAATGATCAACACGATATATCGAGTTTAAACCTCACACACAAAGCTTTGTCGCTATTGACAGGAGGACAAGAGACTTCGCTTGCTGGCACTAGTATGCTGTTTGGTGTAGAGCTAATTGCTGGTGTTGATATGGTAGGTCGTCTAACTTGAGCTTTCTTGCACAGGAAGTTTGCACCTGAAGTTAGATTTTAAGTGCATTGATTGGTACTTATTACGGTGTTTTGAATATGGCAATGGTGATGGTGATGGCGATGGCGATGGTAATGGTACTCCGTTCATGCGGTACTCGAGTAGTAAGTATGCTTAGGAAGAAAAGGAAAGGAAAGGAAAGGAATATCATCAATAACCCTCCCTGATGGAGTGGGAAACTCGGCATAAAATGTGCTAGAATGGAATAAATCTTAATTCAAAAACTTAACTCTGGTGGTTCTTTTAGTTCAATATTACGATACGGCTAAGAGGAACAAAATAGATAGTGTAAGTTTATGGATAGCAAAGAAACGAAAAATATACGGCGATGCAATGCGATGCGATGCGACGAACTGAATATTCTCGATTTCGAAAACGACAAGTGTTTTTTAAGAAAGAGGATGTCTGGTCTGGTCCGGTCCGTCATGTTCCTTCTTTGATATTCTTGGCTTTGCTTTGGGTGCGTGGTAGGTAGGAGGTAGGTAGGAGGAAAGGGTATACTTTGCTCTCCCACAATATACAAGGTATCTTTCTTTTTCTCAAAACAACTTACAAGTATCTTTTCATTGAAAGTTCATTCAGGTTCCAATCTCAGGTTCAAATTGCTGTGTGTGTATAGTATACTAATACTGATAGGGAGAGGAATATTCACGGCGCTGGTAGATAGTAGATATAAACGCTAGCTGAGTTCCATGGGATGGGATGGGATGGGGTTGGTTGGTTGGTTGGTTGATTATGTTATATTATGTTATATCATTCTGCTCTTTGTGGTTCTGTGGTTATGGAAGGCATCGAGGATTCTGGGAGTGACGGAGTCTTCTTGGTATGTGTATGATGCTTATTTTGTTTTGTGGTGTTGGTGCTGATGCTAGGTTTGGGAATAATGGTTTATGGGCTGAGCGGTATCTTTTACTATTGATTATTGAGAATTTATAATATGATTGAGATGTGAGAAGTGTTACTCGAATGGGAATGCAAGTGTTCAATTCTTTGGATTTTGGTAATACGTTGGTCCGGTTTCAAACTCAAATCTCTTTCTTTTGAATAGATCATTTCTCATGTATTGATTATTTCTTGATTGTTTCTGCCCCAGGAAAAAATCTCGGGATGTTGCGGTGGTTTACAGTGTTTTGGTTTAGTTACAGGTGCGATGCTATCATTAGCATCATACCTAGCTGGTCATGTATCGAGTACTGTACATGAATATTCCGATCGCATGTGTAGATACTTGTAGTTAGTAGGCCTAGGAGATTTAGCGTTTAGCCTTTAGCGGTCACTGAGCCGGCTTGAGTTTTTGGTTTGATTTGCGGGTATTGATATGATGTGATGTGATATGATATGTATAGCGTCTTCCCAGATGCCAGATGGACATCGGTGGATAGGGATTGAAGATCTGACTAAGGCTGAGAGTGTTATATATCCAATTCCATACTCTTCTATGTGGTGTTCTGAAGAATGAATTTGCGGGTGAGATGAATTTTGATTTGAGTGTGTGCAGAGGATTACTGATTGCTTGTTTGTTGTCAGGTCAGTGTTGTGTTATGTTTACTGCGGGGATACATCATATCATATATGTTTTTGAGAGGTTTGGAGGGACTGGGATTTTAACTTTTAGCTTTTGACTGTTAAAGAGAGAGGGGGAATGAGGAATGGGGAGTCGGAAGTGGAGGAATAACAATACGAGATAGTTGGTGGTATGTTATACACAATTTTATGTTTTAGTAATGTAATTAGTAGATGTCAAGTTGGATGTTGAGTTAGATGTTGAGTTTGACTTGTTGCTAGCTGGAAGAAATTGAGATTATGGGTGGATGTATGCATGGATGGATGAGGTCATGGTGTTGGTTTTACGCAGACTTGACTTTTGTGTTAAGATGATGATATAGGGAGATGATGCGAGATCTTGCTTATTGCCTTCTTTCTTTCTTTTTATGGCCCGGGGTGGTTTGCGTTGGTTGGATGGGCTGGTTGAGCTGGAAAGACTGGAAAGATGAGTTTTGTTGCACATCTCCATATTCCTAAGATCCATGGAGGTGCGGTATGTATGTAGAGAGAGGACAGACAGATAGAACTGGAAGCGGAAGTGAATCATGGTGAGGTTATCTATCCGATATTGAGAATAATTGGACAATAACTATTAATTATACTACAGTCATGGCGCCTTTTTACTATTGCAGTTGGTTTTGCTGGGTTTGGATAGACACCTGCGTTTTGTTGCATGTTGAGAAAGGAGAAGGATGGGAACTATTATTCGAGTATAGCCATCATCATTATAAAAAGAATACCTGCTTCCTCTCCCTATTTATACGATCGGAAGTTGAAAGGGTTGGTATTTTAGAAGAGTGGGACTTTTTGATAGATGTGGCTCACATTGAATCTAGCTGGCTATATACTTCTCATTTGTTACATATCGTAAGTTAGTGAGGAGGGGGGGAGGGGGGTTGTTAGTTAGACAGACGACATTTTGTTTACAATCAGTAGTTTTGTAGAGGGTCAGATGAACGAGTCCGAATAGATACGGCTCTTTTCCATGGGTCTAGCTGGCTAAATACACAAGTTTTATCGCACATCGTAAGTTGAAAGATTTGTCGTTTGGCATGAATTCGGAGTTCTCTTGTGAAATGAACGTTTTTGTTACATCTCTTCCTTTCGCAAGAGTCCACTTGTTACAGTTGTTTTTGGGGAAAATATAACCTCCCTTTTGTTTACCAGCTTGTTCGGTATGACTTGATCAAACTAGCCTGAGAGAGCCTCATCAAATACGGGCACTAGATCATTTCAAATCAGAGATCATGAGATCATGAAGTTCTCTTTTCTCCAAGTAATATATAATCTTGCATTTCAATGACGCATTTGGTTTAGCTGGCTAGATAGATGCGTTTGATTATATATCGTACCATGGAAATGTTCTGTCAATTGAGAGAAAGTTTAGTTTATATACTCCGATTACACTCTTGATAAATGTGTTTGTTGCAAATCGTACCATGGAAATGTTTCGTCGGTTGAGAGAGAGTCTAATACTCTGATCGTACTCTCTATTTTTCAATCCACAATATATGACGGAAGATTGAATGAAGAAATGATTAGTCAATAGCTCTTCAGTGCTAAAATCGGACTCTATCATCTGAACTATCTAATCAAAAGTCTTCTACTCTTTGGTATTAGATTAGATATTGAATGGTCTTTTCAACCTGTTAAGCTAAATACCATGGAGTATTCAAAGATACGTTGAACATTCAATTACTTTTTCCAAGCTGCTTGATTAGATGAGAACACATTAATAAACAAATAAATCGGAATTGATATTAGATCTATATCTGTTGAACCATTTCGATATTGATGCTTGAGTATTCAACTTATACTAGCTTCAAGTCTGATTTCAATCTCAATATTTACTCAAAACGACAACGTTGAAAGTATCTTCTGTTTGTAATATATTCGCTATCCCTCTACTGTTTATTCTCTTGAGAAATATTACTATAAGGAGCCTAGTAATTCTCCAGCTAGTGCTATATAGTCACTATAGTAATATATAATATATTCTATACCCGAGTGTAGATGAACTATACAAACTGTTATCTTACAAAAGGGTAGTCACCGGCATTGACCACAATTTAGAACTAGATTAGGAACATGGTGTCACTTTGATATCAATGCCTTCGTCTCAAGTCCTCGTTTCAATATTCTGTCTCGTATTGTATCCAGATCCATTCCTAAACATCTTCATCTCAAACATATAACTTCGATATACTGTTCACTGATATAAATTATTCTGCAATGCGAATGTCAAGAAGACAAAGGAGCAATAACAGCTAATCAACCTAAAATAATCATTACAAAGTTGTGATATGAGCTCAGAATCTATGCTCCATTTAACGATCGAAATGAGTCAGACGATACTGCAAATAGTGAATTAAGGGAAAGATCCCTTGTAAAATGGTATCCCTAGGTTAAAAAGACCAGAAATTCCTACAATGGAAAGACAGACAGAATGTGATGTCTCATGGACACCCAAGTTTAAGCTATCACCTTTGAGACTTTGCTTTGGTATCTACTCGAAGATCAGTTGTTTGATCATCTCAGGCTTTCTTATCTCTCACTCGTTTTCTCTCTTTCAAGATCACTCCTATCTTATCCTTTTAATCTTTCTTCTTTTCCTTGTTGTCTTTTATGTATTCTTATATATTTTTCAAGGTGAATTCGTCGTCTGCTTCACATGTTTACTGTCACATTCATTTGTTCAACTATCTCCGCCGAATTATTTCTAAGGTTTTCATCCTTATAAAGCGTCTAAAACCCCTCTCTCAAATCTTCCTCTAGACTAATTGATCCAGCTATACGAGCATTGAGACGAGAGTTTTATTCAAAATCCTAATAAATCAATACAATAGAGTGTTCTCATCTAATTTCAATGAAGCAAGAGTATTCTAAATGTAAATTTCATATTAAATTAAAACAATATAAGTGATGCGTTTATTATATATCGGATAGAAATAATTCTGAGCTATTATGACCCAAGTTAAACGAAAACTATAAATAAATCGGATGAGATAACTAATTAATCACCTTAAGATCTCCGAAATAAATATCTCAGAGAACGAGCTTATAATGCTTTATAATAACTATATATTTTATAATCGCAGATACTAGTATAATAATATTATTACTTATTATTAACCTAACTTTCAAATCAATCTCTATAAATATTATATAAACAATTAAAAAACTTCCAATGAGTAATTAAGTCCCAAGTTATATTATCGTTAGTCATCCATCTAATCCAACTCTTCACCCCACTAACCTATATCCACAACCCCATCTCGGTTAACCCCTTCCACACCCCCAAAAAACATTCATCCTCCATTCCTCAATCACAAAACCAAACCCCAAAAACCCGCACCCGCACCAGCAACTCGAAAATAAAAAATCACAAAAAAAGCAACAAACAAAAATAACCCAAGACGAGAAGAAGGAGGTATTGAACCACACCCGATTCGAACGGATAACCTTTCGATCTGGAATCGAACGCGCTACCGTTGCGCCAGCGGTCCTTAATCACATGACTATTTTATTTAAATGATTAATTATGGATTAGTCTATCCAAATGTTTATGAACGGGGTCTACTCTTTGATTAATTATGTATCATTTTTTTATGCTGATAACACCAAGTATCTACTCTAGAGCTTCATCTTATCACTTTTTTGATATATATTGAGACAGAATATGAAATGAGAAATTTCCCACACGAGGAGCCTCCTAATAATTGCTCGCAGATACCGTACTGGCAGCGCCAAAGAAGTAGATAGTGAATTTTGGAGAAAGTTATTTATCACTAGTAGGGCATAATTTCATGGCTATGCAAAACCATTCCTTCAGCATATTTTCCAGCCTATGTAACCCCCTCCTTACTAACCGCAACGGGCCCTTTAATACACATCAACATCACAATCCTCACTATCCTCCATGAAAATACCTCCAAAGATCAATCCCTCATCAATACCACTCTCTTGGAATCCATTCTTCGAGATATCGGCACCAGCAGCGAAATCTGTTGGTTTCTTTAACAAACCAAAGTGATATTGACCTTGTCCGGAGATATCATTGGTCAAGACTTCAGTTACCGATTCAAGAGCTGAGGAGGAGGCGGAATAGAATACTTGTGTTGTGCTAATTCAAGGTTAATTGATATACGAAGGGGAAAAAAGTTGGAAGAGTTAAAACAAACTTGGCGGTAAAATCCAACTTCAATCCAAAGTTATGCCATCCGTCAGTAAACACCGTGGTAAAGAGTTCAGTGGCTCCTTCATTTACATTCCCGACGACTCTCAAGACATTTGAATCTGAATTGTTTGTGTCAAGTATAGTACCTGTTTTCAACACAACTTGGTTGGTGTTGTAATCTGCACTTTCAAGAAAGGCGATTTGATATTCATGGCTGAGATTCAATGGACGAGAGGTATCTTTCATGATGGAGAAATGAAGAGTTTTGATACCAGTTGTAGAGGTATCGGAGCCATTGTTTGATAATGGCATGAGTTCGGCACGACGAAACCCGACTTGAACATTTGTCGAGGACGGAGCATAAATGGATGCATCAGACAGGGTAACCGTGAAAGGTTCTGATGAGTTCCCGTCATACTGCGATATTATTAGCTGTGTGAGGAGTGGTATGGCAGGTAAAATAACTCACCAACGAAGCGGGAATATCAGTTGGGATTTTGATTATTTGACTCCATGTGAGATCTGGAAAAGTTAGAAGAAGCACTACGATAGGAGGAACAAACATACTCGCTCCAAAATTATAGGTAGGGTTGTAGAGACTTGTACTGGAGTTATCAAATGTACTTGGTACGGTGCCTACAGGTACACGCCCTTCAAATTGAATTGGACAATCTTGCGCCAGTGCGACTGATGCCAATGTCAATAATGACAATCCGAGAAAAGAGTGAAGTGACATGATATAGAGGGTTGAAAATGAATGTAAGAATGAATGACTGAATTGATACCGGCTATCCGGCTAAAAAGAGTGGAAGTGGGAAGCAGAGTCACACAGTAATAAGTTGGATGAATGGGTACAACGGTCCGAATAACTAGTTCATAGGTATACCGGTATATATATACTTTGCGACTCGGCAAGATTCCTCATTTCATCTGATATGATTTCAGTTCATAAAGCATTATCAAATAAGTAGACTTTACCTTTCTATTAAAGATTCTTCAGATAGATTATCCCATGATAACTTGAAACAAAACAATAGAAAACTCCATAAATTTCAGAAGCACAACACCAGCAACTTCAGACGAAAAAAAAAACTCGGCCTATATTAACCATGCAAATCATGGGTATATGCCGGTATATAAATAGAAAATAAGAAAACCAAGAAGCAAGCGTGTTTCGACCGAACTCTAATTCGACATGTAATTTCGGATGGTTCAAAGGCTTTTGCAAAACGTTTCAGCCTCCCAAATGATACGTATGGTTTGAACCGAGATTTATTTCGAACCTGGTATTGTAAATAGACCTCTTCTAGAACTACCATGAGGAGTGCAACAAACGGGACAATCAGTGCTCAAGGCTTGCAGATCTCAAGATCTAGGCTTGGATAATATAACACATGTGTATTCTGACTTGAACCTCTATTGACATTGTAGTATTGTGGAAAAAGGGAAGAAGATGCGGTAGTAAAGATAACCATGAGTCCAAGGGATCAAGAACTCTGACTTATCGGTAATTCAGCAGCAAGAAGCCAAAGCTGTCTCATCAAAAGCTATTTGCCTCCGGCCGGCTTATCTATTATCCGAAACGTGGGGTAACTATTGCGTAGTGACGGAGCTGCCTTTAAGCTTCCTTCAAACAAGTACTCCAAACAACCAACATTCTAAATCCTCACTTTCTTCGAACAACAAATTTAAAATGGCCGAAGCGATAGCTAACCCAGATGTGCCTTCGAACAAGAAGGCCTTTGTTCCCTTAGGTACACCAACCCTTTTCCCTTTTCCCTCCCCATTCCCCAGCGCTAACCCCTCCCCAGAAAACAACCCCGAAGTAATGTCCTCTCTCCTCCACAAACTCGGTCTATCCACCACCCTCTCTTTCCACGACGTATTCTCCATCGAAGACCCCTCTCTCCTCTCCTTTATTCCCCGTCCCGCTCTCGCTCTCTTACTAGTATTCCCCGTTTCGAAAAGCTACGAACAATTTCGCATGACTGAGGATAAGGAACGAGAGGACTATACAGGTAAAGGAGAGGAAGAACCAGTCGTTTGGTATAAACAAACTATTAGGAATGCATGTGGTTTGATTGGATTATTGCATGCTGTTAGTAATGGTGCTGCGAGAGGTTTTGTTGGTATGTTCACTTCTATTCCTCCATTCCTTTGAACAAACGGGCAAATCTAACACCATTTCCCCTTTTTCAGAACAAGATACCGATCTCGACAAGCTAATCAAATCTGCGGTTCCACTCGCTGCCGTTGATCGCGCTGACCTTCTCTACAATTCCCAAGCCCTTGAATCTGCCCATCAAAGCGCCGCAACACAGGGCCAGTCCTCTACCCCCAATGCCGAAGATCACATTGATTTACACTATGTATGTTTTGTGAAAGATGAGAAGAACAATCTATGGGAGATGGATGGGAGGAGGAGAGGTCCACTTGAGTTGGGGGCACTGGGAGCAGATGAAGATGTTCTGAGTGAGAAGGCTTTAGATTGGGGAGTGAGGAAGTTTTTGAAGAGAGAAGAAGAGAATGGTGCGGAGTTGAGGTTCAGTTTGATTGCACTGGCGCCAAGTCTTGATTAAAATGGTCGGTTTCTGATTTTGATTATCATGAATAATTTTTGAGGGAGGGAAATATAGGCGTTGCATTGCGTCAAATGAGCTGTCACAGGGTGACTGCATCCTGGCGTCAAAAATACTTTATGTTGGTATTTAGAGAAAGTTAAAAGTGTTGAACTAGATACCATGACATATTTCGAATTTATTCCATGATTCTATCCATGATCTATTTCCCCCTATCCTGTTTTTATCGACGTATATGGTGTGCAATATTCCCAGAAATTCGAAGCCATACCATGTCATATACCCTGGTCGTCTAACCAGGCCTCCTTTATCATGCTATCCAATTCTATGAAGTCTTTCTATGACCAAGAAATGCTATGGCTTGTTAGCAACTAAATCAAAATCAAACAAAAAGGCAAAAACTTACTAAAGCATAATTCCAGCTCCAGCAGCCATAGCCATGAATTGCTTGAGAGTCTTTGTCAACTCAACACCCCTATCCTTCCCGGTTTCCAACAATTCCGGAATAACTGCTACAGTTCCCACATACAAGAACGTTCCAGCAGTAAATGGTAACAACATATCACCCAACTCCAAACTCGTACCCATCAGTCCCTCGAATCTGCCAATACCGCCGTCTTCTCCACTAGATCCGTACTCTTGTATCGTGATGCCAATAACTGTGCCGAGAAGAGCTCCAAGTGCGGTAACGAATTGTGCACCCATTGCTGCACGTTTGGAGAACCCGGATTGGATCAAAAGGGCGAAATCACCAACTTCGTGGGGAATTTCGTGGAAGAATACTGCGACCGCGGTGGTTGCGCCTATAGTTGGGGATGCGTAGAAGGAGGACGACATGGCGAGACCGTCGGTGATGTTGTGGGTAAAATCTGCACTAAACAACAATTAGCTTTTATTCAATTCACCCCTACGATGGCCGTGACGTACATAAGATTGAGATATCCAGCAAGCTTCACACTCGAATTGATCTCTTTCTCAGTCTTCTGAACTTCCACAATTGACTTTCCGTTCTCCTTCTTCCTTGATCTGGTACCTTTTGCAGGTGTAGTATCCAAATTACTCGAAACGGCAAAGGTTTCCTTCTCGCTCTCATTTCCATGCGAGTGATCATGGCCTGCTCCACCAGTAGCAATCCTTAATCCCTTATCCATAGCAACGAACGTAATGAATCCAACCATAATCGCAACTCCCAATAACAAATTGCGGTTAGGTTCTACCAACACGAATCGTACTTTCTCATGTGCATCCTCGCCGAGGAAGATTTCGGGGAGGAGATGGAATAATGTATCGCCTAGGAGACCGCCGACTGCGAATGCTACCATTACGGAGAGAGAGGAAGGATCGATATTTGGTGGGCATAACGCGAGGAGGAAATTGGGAGGTCCGGAGATATAAAGGGTTGCTAGAAGAGCATTGACGGCGGGCGTGGAAGGGAAGAGGACTGCAAATATGCGGGAAGAGAGGGTCGAGGTAACTGGAGATATGATTTGTTTATATACATTGAGATCTTGCACAAGAGGACATTGCTATTAAGGGGAGCTGATTAGATAGGTTTTGGAAAGATTACTGTGTGTGCAAACTTACTTGGAGCTGTTCCTCAATTTCGGGTAAGCTCATGCTCGCAACAGATGTAGCATGGCCTTGCCCTTGGGCATAAACGCATACAATGGCAATTGATAGCAAAAGAGCGACATGGCGGGGTCTAAAGAACGACATGGCGGGTTGGTGATGGAAAAAAGAATGATGGAGGGACAGCTGAGCTTTGACTTGGGAGATTTATCAGATTGTCAGTCTTACGATATCAGATGGGTTTTAGCGAGGTGGAGCCCTCCTTCTTGGGTCCGAGGAGGTCTAGTAGAATTAGTGCATTAATCATAATGTCAATCTTCATCTTGATTAAATGTGTTACAAAGTTTTTATAGGTGAACCTGCCTATGGTCGGAAAAGTATTCTCTGATTAGAGAAGTGATGTATCACTGGTACTTGCTGTCAGCCAGAAACGCCAACTGTATAGAGATCTGTCATCATTCTTGCTTCACACAGCTATGTTAACACTATCACACGCATTAATGAATCAAATCTTTCAATAATTGCAAGTGCAATGTCATACCGTAGCCATCTTCTTGACGTTGAATGTTCTCGGATTCTCAACACACCTTCATGAGGAATCTGGCAGATTAGGCACACAATTGCCAGTGAAAGCTATTTGTGATTCAACTATACTGGAGTCTTTATTGGGCTATAGTATACCATGAACCTGGCATTTACTCATCTTGTACGGAGCGTTGTGGCTGAGCAGAGAAATGATATTTCTGCTAGTGCCGCAGGCTGACGACTGGCATCTCAGACGAGGAAGTCTCTTCATTTATGTCATTATGAGGATATTCTGTGCAAATAATCGGTTTGGGATATATGGAACTACAAGACTTCCCGAACATGTCAATCTCACAAGTCAAGATCACATTTGGTAAAACTGCGATGCTTGAGAATGTTAGCAGGTTTGAGAGCCTGGACAATAATACATACTTGGTGAGCGTATCATACTCGTCCCTTCTTTTACCTATCCCAACAGGAAGTAGAGATAGTGAAAGATTTGTAAAGTATCAATCTTTCTATAGAAAGTAATCATTCTCGTTTTAGTACAATTAGACGATATAGACCAGAAATACCAGTCTTCAATTCGATAACATTTTCCAATTTGAGATGAGATAGATAAATAGTTTCATATTATCTCATTCTTTTTCACTTTGTCACCTGAAGGATCCTAGTATGGCGCCTGTGAACATAGTTCCTTCATAGCGAACTATAGAACATGTACTTCTGAGCCTGATCACATCGTCAATCATGTATGCTACTGCCGCACTTGTGCAACCTTCTTGCTCATCTTGGCAATCGCATAAACAAGAACGAAATAACACTTGGCCATAATAAAGTTCAACGAATTCATTCTCTTGCAAAGTAATCGTGACTTATCTTTGACATATCATCCTTGATAGGCCAAAATCAAACGATGAACTCAGCGTTTTACTTCTCCCAAGGCTAGGAGAGGAAAGCTCTGATTTTCAATAATTATTAGGAGCAGGAGGGGAGATTAAATGCTGGGTGTAGTAGAACACTGGATGAACTTACCACCATACAATTGGAAATAGGTTCTGACACTATCTCATATGTACTTTCAGGCTGTGTGGAACCTCACTATAGCCTTCTCCCTATAGCTACAAAAATGCGCCCACCATAACGCACAATTACACGAGAAATTGACCATCGTTCAGCCGCTCGTAAAGCCCTTGGTCACAGCAGAAGTTGTGTTCAAAGGCTCTGAAGGAATAGAATGTGCTGAGCCACTCATTCCAGAGAACGATGGTAGGACATCTGCAGGTTGCCGCTTCATGATGCTGCCAATGTGGCTGCATCCCCAATCGAAAGAGTTTAAAACTCCTTTTTCCCTCAATCATGGTTAGTTCATTTACTTATAAGCAGAAGAGCCGTAAGATACTTAGGTTTGTTTATACCAGCAAATACGTCAAAAGATGTCAATTTTCATATATATAATGACTTCAAATATTGGATCTATAGATGCGTGTCCTGTTTCCAGTGCAGGTCCGAATGATGTTAACATCACAGCCTTACAGACGGATGTTGCTCTTGGTTGGGTCTCGGAGCCACACGGTCGAGGTACTTGGAGCTTGCTGTATAGCTGTGTCGGAACATTGATAGCATGTGTGTATACTGCAATTCACCTGAACATTCCTCCGGGTGGCGAAAGAATATATTCCGGCTATTTAAGGAAAGCAAAGTGGGTTATGATTGCGCTTTTGGCTCCAGAAATCGTCGCATATACTGCTTTCGAACAGTATTATCTTGGTCGCAAGTTCCTCAAAAAATTACTTTCCAAGGAAGAAAAAAACTTAGGAAAGGTTGGTTGACGTTGTATTGGTTCAAAATGTGAAGCTAATTCAACTCAGTCTAAGAATGTATCTAGCGAATCTGAGTTCGACGTGGTATACGCTCACTATACGATGATGGGTGGATTTGCTGCAGACGTGAGCAGTCTCCACAATGTTCTCAAAACGGCAACATTCACCCCTGACGGCATTCTGTTTCTATCGAGCATTGGTTTGGTTCCACATCTCAACAAAGAAGACATCGAGGACAAGAGCAAATTAGACTTGCTTGGAAAGATGCTGGCCTCTCTGCAAGGTATCTGGAGCATTGGTCAAGCAATTGAGAGGAAGTATTCGGGCTACCCTACCACTATGCTCGAAGTGCATACTATCGTCCACGTTGTGTGCGCATTAGCTCTATACATGCTCTGGGCCACGAAGCCTCTGAATGTGGGAGTGCCTACCATTGTGAAGTTCGAAGGCCAAGATGAGAAGTACCTAGCTTTTATGCTGCAACTAGGAGCTGAGAAAGGAGATCGTTCCGCTGAACTACACCCACAAAAGAAATGGTACAACGTGTCACCGTCACATCATTGCGGCTTTAGACTTTACGATAGTACAAAGCCCGCTAGTTGCGCCTATGGCGAACCCGGGATGAGTATCTTTCGAGAGATTCGGCCAAAACCGGCAAATCTTGTTTCTGTCAGTGTTGCTACCGACGATGTTATCTCTGCCCCCTCGAAATCTGATATTGTAGCTTCGGATAATTGGCAGGAAATTAGTGACGTCGTCACACATTATGAGCAATCGGAGAAAGAGATCAAGAACCTCCCCAAATCATGCAGGGCTCAGCAAGTACCCGTAGAATACAAGCCAGCTGCAGATCTACCCGTCGTTTGCACCATGATTACAGGCCAGTCACTAAATTCAGGCTTTGGTCCCGGTCTTGACCATAATTCGGGTAAAATGCACCACGATATGACATCCGACAGCAGGTCTGTCAAGGTATTCCTCACACACAAGGATGTGAGAAGATTAAACTTAGCCGCTGCATACATCAAAGAGTCCCCGCAGCCACCAAAATCGAAAGAAGCGGAAGAGGGACCTGACCAAATGTCTTTCAACGAAAAGGTTGAAGCTGCACTAATGCCACTATTCAACTTTGCAAGTGGGATGCATGTACCTCTTGCATTAAGAGCTCCAAATATGAGTGGCACTGTATTCGAAAGCACGCAGAACGATGCTACGTATCTCTCTGCAGCAATGGCCACAGTTCCAGCGCTATATGGTTCTGTTCACCTTGGAGCCCTTACCATTCTATTTCCAAGTGTGATAGAGCGATTGATGTGGAAGATATCATGTTACTATTTGATTGCAGCCGCTGGTTTGTTCGGTGCCTGGTCTCTTTTGAAATTTGGGGACAAGCAGATTGCGCGTGTGTTCAAAATGGAAAATACTCTATTTGAGAAATGGGAATTATTCAGAGGCGAGTTTGGATATCATTTTGATGGTAAAATGCAGAGTGTAGTCCTTGGATGTTTCTCGTCATTCTCCTTGATTAAGTCAGTATTGTTTGGGATTGGAGGAGTAGCATATGTCGTTGCTCGGATATACATAGTGATTGAGTCCTTTATTTCATTGCGGCATGTACCAATTGGAGTGTATCAGACTCCTGTGCTTGATATTATGGGGAATCTTCCTCATATTTAGCTGATGTTATTTTCGGGTTGATCGAATCATCGTTGGGAAGTTTAGTTTATGGTTGTTTTATACTGATGATATAAGGGATGTTTTTACAGTAGAATTGCGGCGAATTTTTTTAGCTCCCAAAAATATGTAATTACTTCGCTTGAAAACAAGGGGGTGGGTTAGTTAGTAAACCATAGAGATGGAATTTGTACCGCAATATGATATTCTTTCTAAATGGGGAAAATCTTCTAGAAGAGCCCGGAACATATATTAATTGACCCATAGTACCTACTAGGTGATCTTGTTTCATCATGCTTTCTGATTGATACAGGGTAGCATTCGGCAATGCAGCTCTCCTAATCGGGGTATCCAATAGTCTTGCAGTCTAAAGCCCGGACGACAGTCTAGATGGCTAGTTTATGATATGATTGGACTACATAGATTATTAGAATGAATCTGAAATAAATAATTTGGCTCAGTTAGTCTTGTATTTAATAGTTCAGATTGCTGTTCAGACTATCGGACTCTTTGTAAATATATAAGCATATGTGAATCATATGATTATATTACATAATATAAACAGTCCAAAAGTCTAGACGGTAGTCTAGTAGTTCAACTAGTCTAGCTTTAAATATCTTTGGATTAGTTAGTCTGCCTTTTCATTAAACTTAGACTCAACTATTAAGTTCAAATGATCTAGTCCATCCTGCAGTCCGGACTATTGGATACCCTGCTCCTAGCCTCGTTAATGACTTATAGAGGTATTGAACCCTGTCGACACACAAATCCGAAAGGATAAGGACAATGTAAACTCAAAGACTGTGAAATTTAATCATCTACTTTACTCAAAATGTATCATTAGCATCCCATGAAATTCGCTGCTTGTGGACTAGAGGTGCTAATACTTGAAACTCCACATTTGACGCAATTCATAGGAAATAAAGCCTCAGAGTGTGGGCTTCGAGTATTAAATAGACTTATAGCAGGCACTTGTATGTGTGGCTCATGCAGATTCTTTCTGAAGAATAGAGCACCTATTTTCATATCTCGCCTTTAGAAACTTTATCATTTGATTTTCTTATGCTCGAATACGTAAATTTGATCACTGTCATAATGAGAATCCGAAGATCTATAATGAAAACACTAGAATAGAAGTAAGAACTCAAATGAAGGAGCTAAAACCCGGAGCCATCTCGAACCACCCAATCAAAAAAAAAGAAAAGTTCAAACGCTGACTCTAAGTCAACCATATGTTTCCAGGACTCCAGAACACGTCTCTAACAAATGAGAGATTCTATTGCTTTACAAAGTAAACACTTGATGAAACAGCATTTCATGATGATTTTCTTTATTCTGGTGTCTCTCTTTGAGGAGCATGGTTGCTTTATACTATCACAGCTATTTCAATCCCTCAATCCTCATGGCAGGAATCTATCATTCATCGCAGCTACTCAGAAGATATTACTTCTACACCATACCATTCCCACCTTCCTAGACAAGACTTGTACAACACTGCCATATTCGGTTCGCCATGGAATACCTCAACCCAGCTGAGAAGAAGGAATTTTTGGAGCTCTGGAAGATTCCAAAGAATCGTTCAGATTCAGTCATGTCAAGGAAGATGATTGAGCGTGCCGAAGCCGGCGAGGATGGTATTAAAAAAAAACATGCTAGGTCACGGTTCGATGTAGATCATATGCATGATGTTATTAAGGCTTATAAGAAAACGCCTGAAGCAAAGGAATTGCGTGAGAGGGAGATGAAGGAGAGGAGACAAAACAGAGATGATAGGAGGACGGCGAAGAAGGCAAAGAAAAAGGCGGAGAGGGACAGAAAGAAGGCGGAAAAACCGAAAGGCTGTGGGGTTTCCTAAATCTGTTCAAAATTTCAAACTATATTTTGGCATTGAGAATCTTTACGTTAGATGGCGAAGTGAGAGTTTATGATTATAGAAAGCTTCCTTGGTTATATTAAAGGATAGATGTTGAAAGTGTAGATATCTTTTTTCGAAAAAAGGTAATACGATAATCAAGTTGTCATTATTAGGCCTGGAATGGTATAGAATTACTATGTTCAATGTGGGCCGAAGGGGTGAGCTAGTAACTTTTATCCGGTATGTGGGAATCTCGGTCAGTTTACATATTGATGTACCTTACGCAGGCGCATTGGAGATGTGATTGGCGGATGAGAGCGGGACAGAGGTAGATAAAAGTAAAGTGACAGAGGATGGCTAGAAGGTGGTCTAGGAGAAGGGTAGGAATAAAGCGGCGGAGGATGATTAGAAGGCAAAAAAGAATGACAAGAAAGTGGAAGAGGGTGATAAGAAGCCAGAGAAGGACGATAAGAAAGTGGAAGACGATAAGAAAGCGGATGGGAATGACAAGAAGGCGGAGGACGAGAAGTAAAAGGAGAAGTAGCATTAGTATCCGGGGAGTAACTTTGCTTGCTTGTTAAAGAGGATGGTTGGGGTGGGGAATTTTGGCGTGTTTAGGTGGTTCTCATGAGAAGAGACATCAAAAAGATAAAAAATGGAAAATTCTCCAGGACTTTGCATCGTGCGGAAAGTTATGGTTGATGTGAAGCCTGAGTGTTTATTTCATACCCTTTTTGAAGCGAGGGTTTAGGGAACAGGCGAAGTAAATTCTTCGGTTAACACGCACTCGAGTGACACTTCAAGTATTACCCATGCCTTTTATCTATAATTCCTATAATTAGCGAAGATGATATCAACAACGGATCTAATATCGTTGAAAAGTGAATATTCTCTTTGTTATTCTATATAGATGCGTCATCGGTGTCGTCTATAAATTTAGTAAGGGAGTTAGATATTTGAAACCCTTATCTAATCGGTATGAGATATCAACACTCTGATATCTAAAATAGATATGAACATCAATAGGTTATACTATTGTATCTTGGAACTGGATTTCATATTCAAAATCGGAATATAACATTGAGATAAACATTGAGATAGTATTATTCGAACAACTGAAACGAGGACTCTTTGTTATTTTGGGATTAGACCTTATTTAGGATTACATGCAATTCAATATTCAAAAAATATTTATATTAGAGAATGGAACGAAAGGCCTGCAATGCATAATCTCTAGGCGAATCTTAATAGTGTGTAGGTCTAGTCTGCACATTAGCCATTCTCGCTAAAATTTCCAAAGATGAAATGAGCCTGTACATCAAAACATTCTCGTCCTATTTGCAACTGTTACTCCAGACGACTCAGACACTTCGTATATGCTACTCTCATACTAATACTGCTTTCCGATACGAAGCTTCCTTTCTTTCCAAGGCACATTCCCCGAATACCTCGTAAGTCTCGGCAGCAAGGTCCTTGCTGTATCTCAAATTACCGAGCTAGAATTACTCTTTTGTATATCGATTCTCCCGAGTGAAATTTATACATCCCTTCTTTTGTTTTCAGACGATAGTCTGCTAATTTCCATAAATAGCTTCGACTTTCTAACTGTATTCTACTGCAAGATCAGACGATAGTATTTTAAATATGTAATTTGACAACGTAAGGTTACAACTACTTCATACAAGTAGGCACTTCTATATAACCAACAAAAAACAAGATAACGTGCCTACTTTAACAATTGTCAATTCATATTCAGTAATCATTTCACTACGAAATGTATATGCCAAGATAATGCATGGCACAATACCTCTTAGAACTTCGATACTCCCACAAAACCTCACAATAGCAATGGCTACCAGAGGTCTTCTTCACCCAAGATAACTGCGACGGCCCGGGCAGCACAGCCACGCACCGACGAGTTTGACGGAGCGTTTTGTGGTGAAACGAAACCATTGATGTAATATTGCAGCGAGATAGAACAATATGCCGTGACAAAATCAGCAATGACTTAACGTACTCCTGACCTATACTGCCTAGAACAGGCTGCGGAACTAGACATCCCTATAAGCGGGAGTGGATTCTGGGGAAACAGCCCGAATTGTAGTTTAAATTCGTACCGGGGAGGGGGAGTCTTATTCAAAAGACTGATCTAACCCGTATGTAGGTGACCTGCAGTTTCTTCTCGGGACGCAGTGATATAGTTGCCCTATCCTATATTCAAAAATCGAGACCGCAAGACAAAAGTCGCAGAACTTAAATATAACAAAGAGTCAAAGACAAACAAGCCTCATACAGTACCGGTCGGTGCATTAGGGACATACTGTACGGGTATCAGTATCGGCATTTCTATCCAACAGTAGATAAGAATGACCTGACCTCTTTATTTCTTTACCTACCTCTTTACCTTTTTACCTCAATCTCCAAATTTCCAGACCGGGATGAGCTTGTACAGTACCGGTAGCTCGAATCTACTTCCATTTCCAATTCTATCCCATCCCATCCTCAGGGATACTTCTTCCATCTTCCATTCCCTGTTCCATTCCCGCAGTTCCAGTCCCAGCCCCTGTCCCAATCCCATCCCAATCCATCCATCCCCTCTTCCATTATCCATCCCCCCTTTCTCCAACCATAACCATAACTATGACGTAACCCAGCCACCCAAATCACAACTTCACAATGAAGTCATACCCCCCACCAACCCACTTACCCTTCCACATCCACCATTCATCCAGCACTCATCCATTATCCACCAACTAATATTCTCACAAATCCCAGCAAGTCCCAGATCATTGAACCCCTTTCAAGTTTCCACACTAAAAATTAAACCCTTCCCACACAAAAACATGGCTTCTCCCGTTCTTCCGTTCTACACTTCTACGCCAAGAATTAGCGCTCGACTAGCGGCAATCTAGCTCCGTCGATCTAGGTGCACCGTGCTAATCGCGATTCGCCACAGTGTGGTATAGTGTAAATCTTTGTTCGGTAAGGGTTGATTAATCATTGAGTTACTTGCTGTACTGTATTGTACCGGTAGGTAGGCGTTTATCTAGTTGGTTGCCAGCTGAGTTAACTGCACTGGTTCTGAATGATCAAACATGGAAAATAGTTGGTGATGAGCTGACATCGTGATTGTATCATATGTAATAATTGATTGTTGCTGATGATAAACAAAGAAAAGTATCTGGAACACTCATTGCGATCCCCCCCTGATTATTAAATCAATTTGTTATTCCCCATTCCCCATTACACAATTTCCGTGATAATTAATATACAAAACCCGAACTGATCATGAATGCATCCCTTTATCATATACTAATAACCTTAATCATAAAATTAAACCATGGGGGTAGCCACCCCAAAAAGATGCTCAACTTTTTTCGTATCGTCAGTTAAGGGAAGTTCGCTCCGAATACCCTCACTTCTTCTCCCAACATCTTCGCTTCTTCTTCCCCAAGCTCTTGGGCCAGTCCCTGTAGAAGAGGTTGAGCTTCTTCTCTTCTCCCTCAATCTCTGTAGATATTTTGTAGCTTCTCCTCCCACGGGCATAGATTTTCTTCCATCGTCACCTCTTACTTTGCCCAAGAGGCTTGATATGCTTGAACCCGAGCTATTTCTGAGATGCGACGGACCTTTTGCGACAGGTGAGGAAGCACCGTCCAAGCCACTGTAACCGCTATCTTGAGTTGATGGTCTATTTGTTGTTTGTTGTTGTGCAATTGTTTCCCTCGAAAGTGATGACGAATGCATATCATTGAGCTCTCGTGCATGCACAGAATCCGAATTCGAAAGGCCACCATATAGCTTCTGTTCGCGAAGTTTTCCCATGTTAGAATCTAAGTGATCGACATTATTGTATTCAGCTGCTTGCGCATGCTCAAGATCACGAAGTTCTTTGATTTTCTTCTCCTTTTGAGGAGTCGAAGCTGGTTCTTCCGTGACAGTCTGTTCCTTTCCAGCAGGTACGTGATTCCAATGCATGGGTACTGTTAGACCAGCTTCATAAGCAGCCGTCGCAAGAACAGGAGGATATCTCCACCAAGTTTCCTTGCGAGGGAAACCCTCTGCGGTCATGTACTCTCGTTCCATGACCTTCACAGGCTCACCAGGCACACGAGACCATTCTAACTGTCCATTCGAGTTTGGCTGATAATGTGTTGTGTATTTCGTATCTGGTAGATCAGGTTCTACTCCGAACAGTGGTGAGTCGAAAGCATCTTCAGCAGGAGCTGGTTGTTGGTGTAGTACAATTGACCAATTTTGAGAACGGGACCCTGTGATGGTATGACCCGGTACCATCGACTCTGGTATTCTCATCAGTGTATCTCCATCGTCGCCATAAACGTAATGTTTGGCAGGTAGGATCTCTGTATCAATAACGGGAAGAGCTCGATGATAGTAATGATGTTGATGAACCTCTCGGAAGATTTCTCTCGTTATGATTTCGTGTTCAGTAGGTAGAACATGTTCTTGAATAACAGCTAGTGAGAATGATAAATCAGCTTCTGCTATTGTCCAATATAGATCCTGCAGATACAAAAGGCCAATTTTCTGGCCGCACAAAAGATGGTGAAGCGGGTGAATCTGGTAGTAAGGGATTGAGCTTCAAAGGTGAAATTCTGTGTGACCTTGAACGTCGACGAGCAAGAGAAGGTTTGTATGTACCAGGTGCAACTCTTTTGTGTACAGTAGTATCCACGGTATTGGTAAGATCTACTACACCTTCAAGGCTGATAGGCTCCGCCCGTTCTTCAACGAGGTAAGATCCCTTCTCAAATTGATCGGTGGTTGGTGATGATGTATGTTTCTGTCCATTTGCAATGGGAAATTTGGTACCGTTGACATGCATATCATCGTCATCAACTGTAGTCTCGGTTCTGTCATTGGTAGAAATGGTAGAATAATGCGATGGCGATGGCATCGTTCGAGGAGTTCTGTCCAAGGCATTGCCAGAAGTGCCGATACTCGAAGACAAGTCGGGATTTTGCCTCATCGACGTGACAGTAGAGGCCGAATGGAAAGGACGACGATCATTCGCCGGTACGGTTCGTAATGTGTCTCTCATTGTGGAGGTAGTATTCGACGAGTTGATTGCCTCTGACTCTCTTCGATGAGAGGCTAGCTGAATTGGATGTAATTGTGTAAAGACGAATGCTCGACGGCGAGCTTCTCGAATTGATGCAGTATAAGTTGTGGTTTGAGCAGTTTCTAGATCTCTTTGATGATGATCAAAGTTACTGTCGGAACCCGTGGTCAAACTATCTTGATTTTGGCAAGAACCAGCGGAGTAACCGTAAGTGTACTCGGGTAGGTCCAAGCCGATTTCTTGTCGAGACTCGCTAAGGGAAACAAGAGACCTGGATACAGATTGGGTGTATGATGAAGACGAAAGTGTCTCTGTGTCGTCATTTCTGGGAATGCGCTCTAAGAGCCCAAGTCTAGAACGTTTAGATCCTTCAGTTTCAGCCACACCGTAATATATCGATTTCAAATAGCTGAATTTATGATCTCTATGATCTAATCGAGCATTTTCCATGGCCAAATTTCCATTCGCTATATCGTCTCCATATATCCTTGCTTCAGCTGCTATGGTACAATTTCTGTAAGTATCTCGTCCACCCTTCATATTGTCGTGTACATCCAAAATATCGACATATGAATTTCGTGAAGCTTTCGAAGAACGAGATGAATCTCGTCTATGGTGTGGCACATAGGATGGTGTAGCCATTGGCCTAGCAGACTCGATTGATTCATACGCGTATGGGGAGGTTGGTGGAGAAATATGATGAGCTGAGGTGGGAGGACTTGGGAATACCAGTGCTGTTGCCTCAGGGGTCCTCGAAAGGATATGCTGCGAGGCAGTAGATTTTTTGTGTCGCAGAAAAGGAGAGGATCTCGTCGCAAATTCAGAGAATGTTCGTAAAGAGCTTCTTCTTCCGCCTCCCCGACCATCTTCATCAGAAGGAGCCGTTCTAGGTCTCCCGTCATGTTCATTGGATTTCGCCGTATTTTGTCGTCTGCCTGGAGTTATAGGAGTTATGGGAGCTTCTGCTGATTCATAAAGGGTCGTATACGTTCTTCCCGCCCATATATTTGTTTCTTCATTGCTACCGGTATATTCGACCTTGGGTGTTTTGAAAAATCTTGCTACATCGTCAAACGAAAGCTTGTCTCCAAGGTTGGTACCAGCAGGGGTCACTGTTGAAGGTGTATCCGAAGATTCTGCTTTTTCGTATGGCTTTCCTTCTAATTTGTGAGAGTCGTTGGTCGACGATGACCTTTTCAAGATCCAATTTTTGATCCTGGAAGCCATGGTAGGCCAGGATGTCTCGGATCAGCAACCGGCGTTCGGAGATACTTTTGGTGGGGGATCTTCAAAATGCTTAAACAAAATACAGAGTCAACCAACATCAACAGCAACATCAAATTTCATCAAATGCATCAATATCACAAATGAACTTTGTACAAGATGAATGAGATATGCTAACTCTACATGCAAACACTGCAAAGATAACATAATAATTCGGGAAATCTTTCATCTTAGTTTTGCACTCAATCAGCACTCAATCTGTTGCCTGTAAGGCTGATCTCAATCTCCAGTCTCCCAGCAAAAGAAATGTTTTGCTTTGATTCCTATCTACTGTCCCTATTGGAGTTAAAGAGCTGTAAAGCTTTTAAATAAGAAGAGAAAAACATCTTAGCATTGTGGCTTTGACCTGCGAAATATAAAACTAAAATCATTAGGAAAACATTAGGAAGTCATTAGTCGCCAATCAAAATACCCAATAAGTAGGTACCCGTCCACTTGCTAATACAATCTAGCTAGCATAGCGGTTATCTTTCTACTTATCTATTCGCACTGTTAAGGGGTCCAAGACTCCCAAGGGGATAACAACCTCAACTTCCTTGCTTTGATACTTTCTTGCATATATTGCTTAATCACTAAGCCAGGTACATGGAAGTAACATTCCACGAGATTTACAAGGAACAAAAGCTCCTGACGACAAAGGCTTCAGCCACTCACATTCTTCGCAAACCCGCCGGTTCTCTCTATGTAAGAGATTATGCATAGTAATCTTTACATCATTGAAAGTAATGAATGTGGCTACCCGATGCTCCAACTCCAGAATTGTGCAAGTGGTATGGATGAGTGAGGTATGAGCTTTGAAGAGTAAAATGGCCATTGCTGAAACTCCATTATGACAAATCCTTGAGACCAGAGATCGGGAAGGAAAGAGGCAACGTCATGTCCTTACAGCTAAAATCCGATTGTGGTGCACGATGATGCAATTCTAAGTTTCCCATTCACTTGATGGTGCTAGAATTCAAGAAAAGCATGGCATTCGACATTCTGCGAACTCGGTGGATTCGTATTGCTCAGCTGTTTTGTTACAGTCCCAAATTTCCAACTTTCCAGAAGGAAATCAATGCTGCGGGCATTTGTATTTGCAAATTGAAACTTTTGGTATCGAGTATACACTTCTCGATGAAAGGCTTCATCGCCAAGTAGTTGATTGTATTGCTCAACCAAGTTTCCAGGCACTTGGGCACTGAATGTGTGAGCCATTTTGTGAGTAATTCCTCAATTCAACTGTGTTGGGAGAGGGAATCAATCAATAAGTTTCTTCCACTTCTACTCGCCCAGCGAATGAGCTGTTCTTATTAGATACTTAACTGGCGATAGCTGCCAATATACTCAGTAGTAGTATTGACACACACTTTGGACATATTTCAGTATCAAATCATTGGACGAGAATCTGGAAAGTTTATTTGTATGATGTAGAAGTGGAGATTAACTGCTTGAAGCGTTATTGGACCTTGAGGTGCACCTGTTTACCCTTTGTCTCTCATGCGGCCCACGGGTATGAAATTCCATATGAAGCTCCGCTGATCTGGCTTTCATCATCGATGCACAGCCACTTGGTAATGGTTTCCCTCGATCTCACAAAATCAGGGATTTGCAAGATATACCGGTAGCTATACGAGTTTGGAACGTACGACTTGGTGCACCCATCATCATCATCATCATCATCATGGTGATGTGGCCATTGATAGTTGCGGGGCAAGAACTACCTTCTCAAAGCTCTTGGGACTATAAGTGGTAGAACTTCCTCCCAATTCATTCTTGTTCACATTAAAACGCATACCAAACAATACTCTTCTTCTAATTGAACCAACTATATTCAATAATACCCAACAACCACCCAAAGTCTTTCATATACCACATCAAATCAAAATGGATCGTGCCAAGTCAGCTGTCAGTGATTTTCTCTCTAAGGATGGAAAAAAAGATACCACTGTCCACGAGGTAGGAATTGCTCACCCTTTTTATCTATATCCTAGGACAATTCTAACGGTAACCTGCAGACTGTCAACCCAGCCGTTCAAAATGAAACCATAACCAAGACACGTCACGAAGACGCAACAACTGCTGTCGACCGTGAAGTTCACCAAGATCACCACCACACTTCCGTCCAACCTATCCAAGATCGTGAAGTACTCCCAGAACAACACGCCCACCAACTCGGAGCTGTCGAGCACCGCAACATTCAGCATGGAAACGACTCTCACGTTCAAGAGCGTCTCGCCGCCGAGCAAGCTCAATTCAAGAACACCAAAACTGAACGAGAGACCCAACACACTGCCTCCCAAGGTGCTACGGTTGCTGGGGAGCATGTCCACCACCACGTTCATGAGACTATCCAGCCAGTCATTCAAAAGGAGACTGTCCAACCATCCGTCGTCCACACCACCATCCCAGTTCACGAAGTTCACCAAAACGAGGCCAAGCATCACTCAGCAACTGCTCTCCCTGCCGTCAGCATGAATGAGTTCAGACAACAAGGAGGTGCTCTCGGAGGACGTAAGGAACGCACCGATGCTTTCGCAGGCGAGCCAAAGTCCGTTGGTGGCACCCTTGGAGGTGCTGGTGCCAGAGGTACTACTTCTTTGACCGAGGAAGATGGTGTGAGACACGGAAACAACCACAGCTCCCACACTGGTACAAGAACTGGCTCCCACACTGGTACGAGCAATGGCGCTACTGGTGCTGGTATTGGCTCATCCACCGCTGGCAATACCCACCACAACACCTCTAACACTTCTAACACTTCCTCCACCACCGGAACCAACAGCAAGCCTAGCTTGATGGATAAAATCAACCCAATGGTTGATGCTAATGGTGATGGAAAGGCTGGTTTCATGAAGTAGATGTTGCATGATCTCTTTTCTTTGTGATATTCCCTTATTGTTCTTAGTTAGTTCCACACTGTACATAGATACGACGACCACGAGTTAATTAATTGAAATATGAAGCAGTGTTCCTTCAAACCTTTTGCGATATTCGGACTATTAATACCGGTACTTGAATACTGCTTGCTTATATGCTTTTAAATATCTTCGAAAAAAACTTTTCGATTTTGAAATAAACCCCTAAATTGCAGCATAGTATCGATATTACTGTCTTCCTCAATGATCCAGAGAATTAATTGTACTGTTGTTGGTACATTACTTTACCTGGGGCATTTCCGATGATATTCGGGTTTTGCTCATGGATCTCGGTTGTCCTCGGCATTGAGAAACTTACCGATTACGTAATCTCGCTCTCGTCCTTTGTAGTCAATAGAAAGCCCCTTTACAAGAACACAATATTGGGAATCAAGTCTTTGCAAGTCTGCAATCCTCCCAAGGCTTGGGATTAGATGCTAATTGATTGTTCCGGGCCAACCGCGATCTGAATGTATGATTATTGCGTTTGCATACACCGGTCACCCGTTAGTAATCATTCCGGGATTTGAAATCCTACAACTGGATCTCCTGTAATATGTTGTGTTCCATTCTATCTTATGGGGCCGTCGGTAGGAACATAGGGCAGTTGAGTAGGTAGTAAGTAGTAGCTATCGGCCACAATGTCAGCTAGTGCTGGGATTTGGAAGCATTTGCTTCTACAATTCGATATTTGCATCGGATTTACAATTCTGTCGAAATTTTGTGAGAACATTCATACTCTCGTATGATCATGAATATCGGTATCTCTGTCTCGGGACGACACGCTTAGTGATCTATACGGTAAAAGCGGAAATGCTGGGGGCATATATGAAACGATTACTACTTTCCGATCATCCGCCGATATACAGTGTGCAAGAGCTCAAACGGCTAATCTTCTGGAATTTAAGATACTGCATTGAGACTTGAGTATCCTCTATCAGAACAACTTCATTGTATGGCATTGTTATATTTTGCAAGATCCTAGCAAGCTTCAAGTCATTATGCATACGACCGCGGTCATGCTTCTATCCCTCATCCCTCCTACACATTGCTGTCACGAATTTTGGGGCGGGATTTGAACGGAATCGTATGATATGTTGAAGATACACGAATCACGAAATACAGTGCCCTATTATGGAGGACAGTCTTCGAGTTGTATAAAGGCTCGACTTCATCCAAGTGCTTTCCCTCTCCATCACACAATCTTCTCATCGTTTCAAACCAACAAACAAGATCAATCATATCAGAAATCAAAATGCCTGCCCATATCAAAAAGTACAAGGCCGCAGCTGTCCAAGCTGAGCCTGGATGGTTTGATCTTGAACTATCTGTCAAGAAAACCATTCATTGGATCAACGAAGCTGGAAAAGCAGGTTGCAAACTTGTTGCCTTTCCTGAAGTTTGTAAGTCCAACCAGTCTTGATGATCTTCCTACATTCCATTGTACTTACTCATCGATATAGGGATTCCTGGATACCCATACTGGGCATGGAAAATCAACTATCAACAATCTCTTCCCATGCTCAAGGCCTACCGCGAGAACAGTCTCGCATCTGATTCAGATGAGATGCGCCGTATTCGCGAAGCTGCTCGTGAGAATGCTATCTACGTCTCATTGGGATACAGTGAAATTGATTTCGCATCCCTTTACATTTCCCAGGTTCTCATCTCCCCTACCGGAGAAGTTCTCAACCACCGCAGAAAGATTAAGCCCACTCATGTAGAGAAGCTTGTTTATGGTGATGGTTCAGGTGATACCTTCAAGAGTGTCGTTCAGACAGACATTGGAAGAATTGGACAATTAAACTGCTGGGAGAACATGAACCCATTTTTGAAGGCCATGAATGTTTCCGAGGGAGAACAGGTAAGGCTAGACCTTTCAAATGCTTCTGTAAACTTTTGCTCACAATCCACCAGGTTCACATTGCCGCCTGGCCAATTTATCCACACCAAGAAACTCGCACACTATTAGATCCATGGACAAACGTTAGCAACCCCAACTCCGACATTGTTTCTCCAGCCTACGCTATCGAGACCGGAACCTATGTTCTCGCACCATTCCAACGTATTTCCGCGGAAGGTGTAGACAAGAACACCCCACCTGGAGTTGAACGTGAAGATCCAAACGTCTACAATGGCAACAGCAGAATCTTCGGACCTGATGGCCAACTCCTCAGCAAGGCTGATGAAGACTTTGAGGGATTGATGTTTGTCGAGGTAATATACGCAAATTTTGTATTACTCAAAAAATCCGTGCTAACAATTTGCCAGATCGATCTCGATCAATCACACCTTCCAAAAGCTCTCGGAGACTTTGGGGGCCACTACATGCGACCTGATCTTATCCGTCTCCTCGTTGACACACGCCGCAAGGAACTCATTACTGAGGCCGACCAAGATGGTGGAATCGGTACTTATAACACTCAAGATCGTGTCGGACTTAACACACCTCTTGATGCTCCTAGGATTGATGGCCCAAGTGGTGTGAGCAAGCAGGTGCTCCCCACCAATGGCAAAAAAGGCCCATTTAAGGCTTAGATATCAAGGTTGTTCATAGTTCTTTAGTTTTGAGAGGCAAGTGTCCTCGATCGCTCTCACTGTGGAGGGAAATATTTTGTTGTATTTTTAGGATAAATTGTCACATTAGTCTCATCTCATTTCACACGCTCTTCGAATTGTTTTCATGTTGTGAAATGTTATCAGCCAGCCTATTTCATACTACCCAAAGCTTGGTATTCGAGTCACCGCTTTACTGTTCAGTACAGTTTTTCAGAAATAATTTGTCAAACTTCGACGATTTTACTACCACCTCAGAAATCTTCCCTTTCTCGCGTTTATTCTATGAAGAATACAAAGCTTCGAAGTGATATCCTAGCATGCTCTTGATGTATAAAGTTAACCTTCATTGCTGTCTCAGGCCACATTTCATGGCTTTGTTCTGGTAGCGTGCCTTGAAGCAGCCTACAACATTCGCTCGAAAACAAAGGAGTCTCACCACTTTGTCCATCAACCCACAACACCTCCCCAGTTTCAACCCTTACAATTGGCCAGTTGATTTCTTTGAGTACCAAAGAATCAAGTACATGGTTAATTCTAGGCAATTTCAAGCAAAATTTCCTTTGGAGAAATATGAATCCTCGTAGAGAATTATCGACATCCACCACTCATGAAATTACAGAAAATGACTGATTATAATTTTGATCACCCGGATTTTACCCAAGAACACATCGCGCATCTCCAAGTCCACCCTCTCGAGGCTTGCCAGCGCGAAAATGCATCGCTTCGTATTAGACTTGAAACGTTCAATCGCATGCTCATTGAAGCGAAAGAAGAGTCGCAAACGAGATTGGTTCGTATAAAGCAGGTGAGGGCGGAAAGGGATGCTGCGTTTAATGAAGGGGAAGCGTATGCCAAAGGGGAAATTCGAGAGGAGATTGGGATTGTGAGGAGGGAGAGGCATGAGGCGGAGGTGAAGAGGAAGGAGGCGGAGGAGAAGGAGGCGAAAGCGCGGGAGAGGTTGAGAGATATGGAGAGGGAATTGGAGGAATTTAAAGAAGAGAGGAAGAAGGGGGTGAATAGGATGGAAGGGGTGGATAGAGAAACGATCAATTTGTTGAAGGAGAGAGAAAGATTTGAAGAGGAACTTCGTGAGGCCAAAGAGATTATCAAAGGGAAAGACTTCTATATACAGCGTTTGGAGGAGGAAACGAGGAGTATGTCGGCGAATGTGGAGGAGCTGGTGGCAGAGAGAGACACTTTGAAAGAACATTTGACGGAGGCATCGGAAAGGATGTCGATGGATGTGGAAGAGACGCCTCCAGCGGAAAGTGAGCCGATGATGGCTCTGACGAAACAATTTAATGTGTTGTTGGCAGAGAAAAATGATTTACTACAGCAGTTGGAGATTGTGACGGAAAATCTTATGGGGACTACGCCGAAAGAGAATACACCGGAAATAGGCATACCGGAAAAGAATAGAAAGCGGGCGGTTAGTACATTGAGTATTAACGCGGATCCAGACAGCGATGTGTTCCAGGAGTTCGAACCAAAACTGCAAGCTCCTTCTCCTCTAAGACAGACTTCTACTCCCGAATCGAATGAAGATGCGGATGAAGAAGAGCTGAAGATAAGTATCGAGACGAATGAAAGTGACAACTCGAGGGAACGTTATCGAAAAAACAAAGAGATTTGGTCACAACGACTGACTGACCGCATCAAAAGTCTCGAGAAGAAGAATATGCGTCTTGAACGCTATCACGACATCAGTCACGTAACTCGCGCATTCCTCAGTCTTACGCCCGTCCATTTCGAAGCATTACGAGAACTGAAAGAGCGCAAGAGAAAAGAGGGCTTGATATTACTCGATGTGATGAGCAAAGAACACAATTCGCTGAGAAAGCAAAATCGGAACCTCGAAAAACAATTGAAGTTATTGGCTGATATGCGAAGTAGAGAAAAAGACGATTCGGCCGAGGCACAGGACTTCATACTTACTCAGCGCCGATGTGATTCAAAGGAAGAAGCTGTGAATATCTATAAAAGACTGTATGATCAAGCGCAGATGGCTATGCAGAAGATGATAGAGACTGGGGCGGGTGTTGATGCGGAAGAAGTTACGGAGTTGCGAAAGGAGAGGGATATTTATAAGAAGAGGAAAGAGGAATTGGAAGAGGAAATCGATGGTTCTTTGGGACTAAGAAAACAATTGGCGTTCAGTGTAGCTGGAGACACAGGAGATGTTTATATGGCGACTCAGTTAACACGAGTCAAAGCTGAGCTCGAATGGCGCACAAAGGAGAGAGATATCGCCATGGAAGAGTCTCACGTGGAGCAAAATCTGACATCCATCAAAGAATTAATGGATCAGCTATCCCAGAATCTCGAAAAGAGCGCTCGTCCGATCGAGCGACAAAATACGGAACATGAGGAACTCACAAAGAAATACCAAATATGTTTACGTCAGTTGAGCGACAAGAAGGAGAAGATCAAAACTCTCGAGAGTTTCCTGGAGGATAAGTATATGGAAACCGAGGATCTTGCAGGCGATGAGCACAGCGATTCCCTCAGGGCAAGATTAGCTCGAACATTAATGGAGCTTTATCAAGTGAAGCGAACATTGATGGAAAAAACAATACAGAGAAATAGTCTCACCAAGAGCGCTGTCAACTGTTTGACGACAGTATTACGGGAAAATGAGACGTTGAAAAAGACAATAGACACCCTCAAAAAACATCCCGATCGTGATCCCGAACGGCCTGTTACAGACGTCGATTTAGAAAATGAAGAAACAATCGCGAGCCTTCAACAGACGGTCGATTCTTTAACGAAACGACTCAATAAAGCGGATTCTGCTATCAGTTCTGCAGAGAAAAGGGCCGCGAAGTCGAAAGATAGATTGGAGTCTTATATTGGGATGCATGCATTTGGAGGAGATTCTCACCCCAGAGTTAAAGCTTTAAGAGAAAGTCGAGCTCGAGTTGCCGTAGGCCCCAATGCAACCGATACGCAAGTTATCGCGATTTTGAAAAACCAGCTGAAAGATACCGATGATTTCTTGAACTTCGTTTGTGCGAAACTGGTGGTGCTGTCGGATGAGAGACGAGAGTTGGATACTGGGAAGGTGGAGGCGGCGGAGAGGAGATTGGAGGAGTGTATGGATTTGGTGGGGGGGCCGTTGGGTCAAAATGAGGCGTGGGATAATTTAAAAGGGCTGTTGAGCGAGACGAGGGAAACGTTGGTGGTTAAGATGAAGGAGTGGAAAGAGAAGGATAAGGAGCGGGATTGGGCGGTGGAAAGCTTGGAGAACCTTTTGAAGGAGAGTGAGGAGAGGGGAGTGGCGCTCGCTAAGCTTTTACATGCCGCGCAGGAAGATGTGGAGAGTAAAGGTACGCAGGGTGGTAGAATTGCAGAACTGGAAGAACAGTTGAAAAAGAATGAGGAAATGATAAGCAATTCACTACGGGAAAATGATCAACATAAAGCCGAGACTGATGGATTGGAATCCTTCCTTCAAGCTAGTGAGGTACAGACGACTCAACTCGAAGAACAACTCAGTAGGATTGAAGAAAAAATACAATATTTGCAACAAGAGAAGGATAACCACAAAGCTGAGGCGGAGAGACTGGAAGATCTTCTCAAAGCCAGTGAAACAAAGACGGCGCAATTCTTTAGAATATTAAGGGACGAGGAAGAGGAACAATACCGAGAAGAGATCGAAAGATTGCATGAGCTCCTCTTGATGAAAGAGGAAGAGGACAATCAATATCGTGAAGAGATTGAGAGGTTGCACGAACTTCATACAATGAGTGAGGCTAAAACCACCGAGCTTCTTGAGATATCGCTGAAAACTTCAACGCGACTATCTCATCTTGAAGATGAAGGCACAAGATGGAAGAATGTGGCTGGGGAAAGCATAAGGGAAATAGAGCAGTTGCAATCGAAGCTCGAGGATCTAGAGGCGGAAATTGAATTGCTTCGTATAGCGAACCATCAGAATGCGGATACGCAAACAGAAATGTCTATGGCCAAGGATATGGAAACGCAAACAGAGAGCCCCGAAAGTCCATCAACTCCAGCTCTGACTTCTTCAATTCCGGAAGTAGCAGCACCCAAACCTAAGAAATCTAAAAAGAAGGCCCCCAACAAGAAATCTGTCAAGCGAGGATCACAGGACTCACGATATAATCCCCACCAAGACTCCGCTTCCGAATCTCCAGACGAAGAATTGGAAGATACAAAGACACCCAAACCACAACCACCACCACCACCAAAACCAAAACCCAACATTTCCATCCGCCGAGAACTCGCCCATCCAGTACCATCTCCCTCCCCGGCTCCTTCTATACAAATCAAATTTGTATCCAAAAAGAATCTCAAGAAAGCAGAAAGCAAAGAAAGGGAGGAATATGATTCGCTGTATAGAGATGAAGGAGGAGCAGAATCTGAAGACGAAGAGGTACCAGCGACGGAAGTAGAGCCCGTGTCGCCGGTCGAGGAGATGCAAAATGTGGAGGTGAATGGAGCGAGGAGGAGTAGGAGGACGAGAAATAAAAGTCCGGTTTATGTGGGGGAATTCATTGTGGAAGGTCCGGGGAGGGCGCAGAAGAGGAAAGCGGTTAGGAGTGAGAATTCTGGGAGGGGAAAGAGGGGGAAGAGGTGAAGGGGGCTGAGCATGTATAGTTTATTTGTTATGGCTTTTTGAGTATTATGAATTTTAGATGCATATCCCGAGTTACTCAATCTAGACCTTGAGATTGATTGTCAATCGTCCTTTTAATGAAGGAATGGTTGTGACAAAAGTAGCGTTACAGCTTCCCCTAATCGCACGAGACTCTCTTAGTTTGCGTGACTCTACTATAAATATCTTACAGTGTTTGAGCTCTCTCGAGCATTTAATTCAATCAATTAACTTCTTCAAACTATCTTCCTGTGAGACCTCCCACTTTGTGATAATAGCATCGTGTTCCTCGAGAAAGAGAAAGCCGTGTCTGCCCAAAATTGTGACGGGAAGAGGCATCTAAATTCAGATCCAATCGGCGATCGCCAACGCCGCACTGCGACGGCGAGGTGCATATATTGAAAATGCGCCGCTCCTAAAGAATGAGCTGATTATCCACCCTTTCAATTCTTCACCATAAAATCCCTTTCTACTAAAGATATCAATAAATCGCTTCAGATATCCTCTCGATCGAGAAAGAACTCACGGATCCAACAAGTCTATCGCGATATCAATAAGATGGTCCACCTACATCAAGTACAAGGGAAGCTTTACAACTTCAAACACAAGTCAGAACTTACTGAATTGAACATGACCATCGATCCAAACGTCACAGATATCGTGCGCAAGCACATGGTTATCTGCCTCGAGCTTGTACATGGTAGGAAAGACTACGTGAAAGTAATGACGGTTCGTCCCTTTCATTACCTCGCCATCGAATCAACCCAACTAAACCAAAAACCAGATAACATATCTCTCAAAGACGACCACGAATACATCCCCATCTCCCCTGTTCCTAAGAAACCCTATCCGATCCAGCTTCGAATCCGCAATAATCTCGGCTGGGTTTATTCTCGCGGACAGGCCGTCCTGCGCTTAACCACCTTACCCAAATTCTCATTTCTAAAAATCGACGAGTATTACGAAGTTTCAATTCACATGCTCAGGGAGGCAAATGATGATTATGGAAATCCATTGTCTATTCCGACAAAACATCATGGAGGATTAGCGCAGCTCAAGGATCACGTTAGACGTCGTGATTACATCCGTGAGAATGCGAGAGCTCGTCGAGTTGGGGAGGAACAAGAGGGGCTCCTTCAGACAGTACATGCGATTGATAATTTGGCCTTGAGTTCTGAGGTACATAATCATGGCTGAGGGAATCCATGGAATGGAAGTATAGACCTTTTAATCTTGCAACCATATCTAGCGAATATCGCTAGATATGGTTTCATAAATAAATTCATATCATAGGATACAAGATAAGTATCCACGGATATGTATCTGTTCGATGAACTGAATAGATAACTGACGTCCAGCTTCGAGAAGCTGTTGGCGTTGAGTTGGCGAGACGATAGCTAGATTATCTAGTATTGCTTGCTGGGCTATGTGATGAGGCATCATGTGGTCGGATTGGAGGTCTTAAGATGGGAAGAAATTGCGCGAGGAAAGATGGAGAAGGGGGTAAGAACGAATGGGATTTGATTTATGGAGAATATACATACACTCGTTTGATGACTTTTGACTTTTTGGTGTGGTTGGGATACGTAATTACACTCCTTTACAATCACCGTATCATTGTTGTCTTGGTGTGGGAGAATCACTATCATTAAATATGAGAGAGGTCACTGAGCATTCAATATGTATTCAGCGGTCTGTTATTATCAATGCAAGTTTGGTAATCAAATTCTTTCCGTTTCTCTCGTGATGTATTCAATATTTCCCATCTGTCATGGTCCCAAACGCCGGTTTTTCCATCCATCTTGTTATATCATATCGTGTCATGTCATGTCATACAATCACACATTCCGTTCCAATTTCCACCAAAGGACAAAGGACTCAATCTCCAGTCTAGTCATCTGTAAAGGATCCCTCCCAATTATCCTCTAGATCTTCCTGATCCGTCCAATCCATTCCATGCTCATCATCCTTCACTTTCTCCTTACCCTCCCCCCTATCCCCATCTAATTCAACATCCGATATCTCCTTATCACTCACACTATCCCCAGCAATCGTAAAATCATCACCACTCTCTTCATCCTCCGCATGGCTAATAATCTCAAACTCGCTTTCACTCCCACTTCCCGTGGGCGTCAACACCGCCATATCATAACTGTCCGCCGAAAAGATACTCCCCGCATAACTACCACTCGCTACACCCGCCTCGCTCCCCTCTTCACTTCCAACATCACCTCCAAATTCACTCCCAGCCAGTGTAACCGACCTCGTACTCCCATCCCTCACATCCAAACTAGTATTAACCGAACTCCCCACCACCCCCACAAAACCCGCTACCCCTTTATACTGTACACCCGGTGTAAGACCGCCAACATTAGAATAATAAGCCGGTGGTACATCGGCGCTCGTAACACCGCCACTTCCATCGTCGTTTCCGCCGGCCCATAATGGTAGGTATTGCCATTCGTTGTCTGTCAGACATAGTAATGTGTCTGTCAACATGGTGAATTCAGACCCATCGGGTTTGGAAAGCATCGTAGTACATATATCATCTACGTAATGATTGAGTTGATCGAGAAAGGTGGAGAGATTAAATTTGTGAGGGTTGTATTCGACTGGCTCGTTGGGATTGGTGTAGGAGTTGGTTAAGAATAGCTCTGATGTGTCGAACGAGAAATTGTCTTTTGTTAAAAGAGGAGAGTCGGTTTCAAGACCCGAGGATGAAGTCTTGGTGATTGGATTGGCTTTGTATGCTTGATCACGAGCACCAGGCTTGTGTCCCGAATTCTCCCAGAAACTATCCAGGAGCTTCGTAGCCGAGCCTTTTCGGTTATGACTCGCTTGAGCAGAAAGTCCTGATTTGGTGTCGAAGTCATGTTCATTTTTTCCAGGTTCAACTGCTGTTTTATTTTTCTTTGGGCGTAACGGAAGATCAAGTAGTGGTTTAGTCGAAGTGTCGCTCGTGACGGAGGATATCGATGCTGCATCACTTGCTGGCCCATCGAATTCGGCGAGCTCAAGCTCCAACGCTCTAATTCCTGCTAGACGTGCTTGATGATAAGCATGATCTGGGTTATATGCGCTCATGAATGCATAATTCGTTTTCTCCTCATCCATGCTCTTAGTTCTAAGTGGTGGTAACGTAGATATCGTAGGTACCACATTCGAGAATGAGGATGAATGGTAATTTTCCGTTTCGACTACGAGGTTGATCTCATGATTGAAGTCCCTGACATAAACATCAAGGTGGTAGGTATTTGTGTTGCAGATACCATCTCTGTCAACAAGACTTTTTCCAGAACGAAGTAGTTGCGGACTACACGAAGCAAGCTCGGGACTCTCCATTGGACCGTCATCCCAGTCAAGACCTTGAAGACTACGCCAAAAGTATGGTAGCATAACTCTTTCACATTCACCAAGACCGTCGTAGATATAATTTGTATCTGGGCCCTCTTGTGTTCCGGTTTCCGGGAATTCCCATTGTAGCTCGCGTTGATGATGATTCGCCACAGCAATGTCCCGGTGCGATAATCCTTGGTTCAAACAAATCACAATTCTTCCCCGAACATATCCACGAAGGTTGATGAGCAGCTTCTGAATAACTGATTTTCTTTTTTCATAGAGCGCCTCTTCTTTCTTGCCTTGATCTTTCTTTTTGTAGCAATAGTCCTCAAACTTGCATATTTTCCTGTATTCAGGCAATTCCAAGAACCAAGCCATTCGTTCATCCAACAAATCAGTAATGGTTTCCTGGATGCGATCGCAAAAGTCCTGGCTTGCATGTTGAATAACGTTCCACAAATCTTCATCGAGCTCTTCTCGAGGTCGAATATACCGATATGATCGTCGCCTATCAGCATAGTTTTTACACAAAGTTCTTGAAGCCACGTTCAGCGCCTCTTCAGACACAAGGATTGAAAAGGCAGTTCTCGTGATCATAGGTATTTTCAAGCCGAGTCCAATATTCAAGCTGGCTTCAGGAAGTATTTCGAGGAATTGGATGTTGCTTCCGGTCATAATCCATGAGGTGATGTAGTCAATCTAAGATGAAGTTAGGATACAAATCTAGAGTTAATTTTGGAGGATCTTACCACAACACTTGGACATTCATAATACTTAGCCAAGACAAACAATGTCCATACCTTTGGTGCCGAATCCAGTTTGGGCACTTTACCTTGAATGATTCTAAGAAGATTCTCAACACCAAATCGATGACGGATCGGACAATAATCTAGAACATCCTTCTTTGATGCCGCCTGGGTACGGTCCTGACTTGTTGAGCCAGTCTTCATCGCTTTTTGCATCTCGACTGGGGTTCCATCACGGAAGCTAGACCCAGACTGTTTCGGAATAAGGCGACCCAAGGATGTACGACAGAATTCGTTGTTAAAGGCCGACTCTAATATTGAATCCAATGGGCCAAAGACAGCGTCAACGTGACCGTCTGCTGAACGTTTCAATCGGAATTGTTTGGCGGCTTTGACTGGTAAATTCGCAGGTCCAGAGACCTCGTCATCACCAGCAACCAGGCATTTCTCGGCACCACAGCGTTTCTCAGCTGAATGCCAGTTTCTGATTCCTGCTGAGCAAGATAACTCAGATACTAATTCAACTGCCTCATCACCTTCCTCGGGTGGTGTGAGGTCAAGAATATATTTGACGCCTTCTGGCAGGTGATGTAGGAGGGATTTTCTCTTTCTTGCCCAGTATTGTGGCCGTTCTTCGAACATTCGAGAGAATTTGGGTGAGCCAAGAGCTTTTAGCTTTTCGCTGCTCACTCGATGGATTTTGTATGGTTGAACAAAGCCGTTGGAGTCGTAGAAAGTAATACCTCCAGGATATGAGACGTATACTAAAGTATCGCCTTCATCTAGAAGTGATTTACTGTATTCGACTGCACTCTGATCTCTTTCATCGAGCTTTCGGCGGGTCTTGCGCTCCTTCAGACGCTTTTCAGTGTCATCCGCCCATGCATCACTAAGAGTTGACGGTGCTGTTTGGTGGTATGTAGTTAGTATTGACGATACCTATTGAGTCCAACACGTGTGAAGTAATATCAGCGTTAAGATACGTACCATCGTGTATAACTGGAGTTTTCTGGCCATCGTACAGATCCATTTCTTCTAATTGTCCGGGATTTCCAAAGCCTTCTCGATATTCTGTGTTGATTGTTTGCTTAAAGGCTTTCTGTTCGTTTTCCACGTCCAATTTTTCTGTTTGTCTTGGAAATTTGAATGCCCTATCAAGCCCGTTGCCGATTATTTGCCCAGGGGTGAATCCGATAACTTTGGAGCCAGGCGTGGTCATTGTCGATCCCAAGAGGAGCTATTGAGATGAAGAGTTTGAAGTAGATGAGCACTGGATATTTTATCTAGTATTTGGGGTCGGTGTTTGAAACATTGATTGTATTTAAATACGTGGTAGAAATTCAATAAGGCTGAGGTCTAGGCAGCGACGAGACCGTCCTCGACGAACGACAGCAGAATGATAGGGGCCTTTAGAAAAGATGACGACTCTCAGTAGGTTTAGCTAACCATCTGAACGCAATCTAGATTACCACTTTTCGAATAATGGAGGTTTGTTTCTACGGAAATTCTACGCCATTTGAAAAAGAAAGTCTCTAGGTAAGGGGTTATAATTTGATGACTGCGGGGTGTAAGCTCAGATATTAGCTAGAAATATGGGGCTGACCGATCATGAGCCACAGCGGTCTGCCAAGGCGGTTTATAGGGCTGTTGTAGGTTTGTCATATGGAAATAGCGTGTCTGAAGGGTGCGACCGTGAGCTTAAAGCGAGCCGCAGATTAGGCCTACTCTACAAGAGTTTGGTGCAACGATATTTGTGTATATGAACAGATATTAGGTATAAGTCTTCAAGCAAGAAATGTAGATATTAAACTTGAAGTTTCTGTATCATTACCTATTTGAGCCTCAAGTGACCTAGAGCCCAAGTCCTATTCGTTCATTTGATGCAGAACGTGAAGGGAATTTACGTACAATTTGCCTTCGATGACTGATGTCCAGAAATGAATGTACTAAAAGTTATATTATTTGAGGTCCAGATCTTGATCTTAATGGAATATGTGGTGCTGAGTGCAGGTGCATATTCTCACACTTTGAGTGCAGATTGTATAGTGCTAGCTTTGAAGCTTCCGTCAATTCACACTTTGAGACAGCAAGTTATAAGTAGTCATCCTGTTAATACCCAATTATAATTACTCCATCCCACTGATCCATTAGCATCCAACGCCAGTTTCAACGTTGAACTCCTTTGTCACCATATCAGCTTTTTGTTCATCATACTGGCTGTCAAAGTACCCCAGCTAACATTGAATAACAATCTCCCTTCGTCTCTCGGATCCCGCCAGCCCCTGTATTGTTGGATCCGCCTTGGAACATCTCATGAAGGCGACCATCGCCGCAGCATCAAAGCCCATCTCAATATTCTTACACCTATCCTTCTCTGTTATAGATGCTCTAGTCCCCTCCAACATACTATTTGTTTCATTATCATCTTCTTCTATCTCCACCAACCTCTCCATCACTCTACCCACTGCACCCATAAAGCTCCGCGCCCCACCAGTACTGGAACAGTCATACTTCATGCCCCTCAACAACATAGCAACGCTAATCCTTCTCAAGTTCCGATCTCGTGTTTCCCAGCCTACAACCATAGATGGTATAATGGTTGCGAGTTCAAAATTTCCGCTTTCTTCTAAAGCCGCCCTCCAACTAGGTGTCGATCGTAATACCTTGGCAATATCCCTTAATTCCTGTACTTGTGCAGAAAATCTTCCCTCGCTAATATCTAGACGATCGAGGTGATTAGACGAGGCGATTAGAATGTATCCAGAAAGCCAACTCATTCGTAATGTATATGCTAACAATAAGTCCGAATCTTTATCACAGTGAAACTTATCGTTAGACTGGCATCGCTTTTGATGGTCTTCAAACAGAGGTGAAAATGATCGATTCCACCGTTCATATTCCCTCAACATTCTCTTCTCTTCCTCTAATTTGGGGTCAATGTCGAAGAATAGTCCATTATTTTGATGATGGTCTTTCTGATCGTTATTATGGGCAGAAAAATCATGTCGTTTAAGAGTCGAAGCTAACCAATCCATACTTTTCATCATAACTTTCTCCAGATCTTTCTTCGCCTCTGTGAGATTTGAAATTAGGCCCGGCATCATTTCGATATCTGGTTCCCCTAGACTTGTCCTCCTCTCGTGTTCTATTTGTGTATCTACGTATCGTAAGATTCTCAATTCCACTTTGCTGAAGCACTTCAAACAACCAGTTTCCGTCATCGATTCGAGATAGGCAGCTTGGGGGATATATATCCTAGTCACCCAGTCGCGGAGTGCTCTTAGCCCCAAATACATAGTCGAAACTCTCTCATGGCTGATAACCTCGTTACCCCTGCCCATCATATTAGAAAGCAAATGGGCGATGAGTGTTGTTCTGCTATCCACATCAATTTCAATAATCCCCGTACCTATTCCTGGGCCCTCAGAATATGGGACTGCCCTCTTCTTCGTCAAACATTTCGTATTGCAATATTCGTGGTAGGCAGACATGTGTCTAAAAGTACCTATTTGATTCCCTCGAATCTTCGGTCGCAAATCGAGAGACCCAATCATGTGTACTGCATCAAAAATCAGGGAAGACGATTGACACCCCGAGAATATAAGTCCCCACCAAACTTCAAAGTCACTCGAACTCCCTGCAATCTCTCTCACAAAATTCCGAAAACATGTTTCTGCAGTCTGGTCTCTCCACAACGACGGTGGAGAAGCGAGAATTTCTGGTTGTGATAAGACCGAAGATGTCGTTGAAGCTACAGAAGTAGGGGATGTAGATGGACTGATGGGCAGATATCCGATTCTCGGTATCAACGCTCGAGGCGCGATGTTGGTTACAACACTGGGCTTCGCACCAAACTTTAGAAGATAGGCATAACCTTCGCATTTATGTCCAAATCGAACACATCGCATACAATCTGGTTTTGCCTCATCGCACTTCACTCTTCTTGATCTAAATTAAGTTCAGTAAATCGTCCTGGAAGGTAAAAACTAACGAGACACGAACAAGAGTAGAGGTGAACATACTTGCAAGTGAAACAACCAGTTTTGACCTTTGGTTTACTCGCACGAGAGCGCCTGACCCTTGGCTGTGGTATCGGTACTGTTGTTGTTGTTGTTGTTGTTGTTGAAGACGTCTGCGGAAAAGAGTACATCTGGTTTGCCATTAATATGAACCTTGGCTATTGACTGATATTGTATCATTAGTTTGTTTGTCGCCTGGTAAGATTCTTGAAGCCTATTCTCTTTGCTTAGACATGTCAAATGTAAACATTCAATGACAAAAAACCACGAAAGGATTCCAACCTTAAAAGTCGATCTAATTCAACCGGGGCACACACATATATCAATAGCACACCCTAGCTCAGAGGGTCGCAGCCCTCCTTGGAACATGCCTGTCCCATTCTCCACTCTCACCCACCCTCCCGAGTTGGTGGTTCCTCCCCACAAGCGCTTACAGCCCCCACCATTGGGCCACCAATGAGTTTTCCAATCCTACCTACGTTTGGACCAACCTATGATCCATTGTTAAGTCTTATCAGCCAATAAAGACATTCTTCACTAAGAAATAAACGGTAGAGGGTTAATCAATCCCCTTGAAGGAAAGTAAGAACGTCAATCATGCATCCTCGTAATGGCGACGAATAAGGAATAATGGTGTAAGACGAATAAGATAAGGAATAAACATGATGACTAGATACAGGGTGGGTCTGCATTGAAACCTCATGATATACGACTGCAGTTGTTTGCGTCGATTGCTTGCGTGTTAGATTACTTGTGATACCTTGATGCATGGGGGTGAGCACAAACTTGAAATTTGGCTGATATGCCATTTCTTCCTACTGGAGTATTTCCGATATTGACGAGACTTCTGTTAACAGATAAGCGTGGTAAACTTAATCTACCTGAAACATTTATTATATGCCCCAGTTGTGGTGCATCCATCTCATAAAGCCACAGACCGAAAGATGGAATGGTGCAACAGATGGTGAGGTAATATCAATACGAGAAGTAAAAGCGTGCAACCACCATGAAACGTTGAATGTTGAGGAGAAGTCGTGGCTCTAGGCGTTGAGAGTGCAGGACAATAAATTCGGATAGAACCGCATGGCGTGAGGTTACATCACATATATTTCCGGTCGTCCAGTGAATTAGTGAGATACGAGTGACCGCAGCAACCCCTTCCTTTTCCTCTCGACAGGGCAGTAGTTGAAGTACAATATAACGAATGGAAGGATTGCCTTATAAAAACAACTGTTGGTTCTGATAGCGTTCATTGAGCCATAGAATATGGCGAGGTTAAAGTGGGATGTGACCTATCCGATCCAACCTACTATCGTACCTTGATGAACCAGGTTTTGCCATAGCTAAATGTAAGGAAGGCTATTGATTGACGCCTTTGAGGTGCCGGAGCGAACGTTGTAACGTCGACCGGGGTACACAGCGACAGGACTTCTCTTATTCCTCATTTGTAACGCTGCGCATTATTGTAAAATGCAGGTAAAATCCTCCTTCCTCTTTGTCATTCCTGCTGCAGACAATCATCATGATGAAGGTTCGGAGATAGAATTACATGGAAGTTTTTTTCATGCAATTGTTGTGATTGCTCGCAACATTGTCGTGGGATGGATCTATACAACCAGCTTTAGCTCAGCCCGGCATGTCGCCCAGTGGCGAGAGCTTTCATTAGTGTGTTAAATGCCCGCCGAGTACCGTCGTGTTCGGTGGTGATTCCTATTGGCTGTCTTATTATTAAACAATCAGATGGTGCTCGTTTCTTGGTGAACTGGATGGACGACTCACCACTGCAATCCTAGAATCCTCCTCAATATATGCATGGTCAGCATATGCTCAATATACTGGAATGCTTGTTTGTTTTGAGCCGATCAATGGAAGGACGAGGACAATGAGAACATCAGTTGATTTTCGGAAAGCCCGCCTTGAAGATGACGGGTCCATTATGAATGCCCAAAGTCAGACGAGTAGTCGCCAAGCCAATTGGCCAGCAATTAGACAGCAGCACGTGAACTCTGAGTAGAAGTACACTCCATATCGAATGTTTGTTATTCAAGTCTGCTTTAAGGATTCGGTGGGATGAGTCAAACTCAGATTACAGCTGAGAATTACAGGATATGAGGACATGCTTCTTGATGTTGTTCTCGACAAAGTGATGCCATACTTGCATTCGGATCGTATTCCTTTTTGTTTGGGCAATCAACCCCTGAGTCCAGTCGATTGGCAGACCATGGCGGTAGATCTATTTGAATTTCGATATCACGACTTGGCGCGGGGGAAAACACTTACTTCCAACAACTTACACTTGAAGCTCATGTGATGATGTGTAATGGAAATAATTGAGGATCGGAAGATGTGGTCAGGTGTGTATTTGTGAGGGATGTTATGTTGTAGGATTGGATGTAACGGTATAACGACCAAGCAACCAAGGGCATAAGAACTCCCACCGACCTAACCGCAAATATCACACAGTGAGATTTTGGAAGATATAGACACTTACCGAAAGCAAAGCTGCTATCCAATTGCTGAACATCTTGGGGGTGTTGCAAACACAACCTGATCTCTGATCCCAACCCAAGGGCTAACAGGATTCGGATATTTGATTGGTATCAATGTCTAATTTGAATCCAAACACCCAATTACTCTCATCCCATTTCCAACAAACTGAATCTATGATTCTCCAGCGAAATCTGAAAAGACGAACAGGAAGGAATGTCTAACACTGTGACATTAGATGTATTGCAAACAGGCTGTAGCTTAGATATTCTTACCATCAACTACATTCCAGTTAAGCAAGTATGGTATGCAGACAGGAAACAATGATTCATGAAGAGTTTTACGCACCAATCTCTATTCCTACCCACGAGTCTCCTCCAACATTAGCTTCATGAAGATATACATGATTGAACTCAATCCAATATCCCAACACCAGCTTTCCGCTCCTCCCACCAAGATCCGGGCTTCTCCCTAACATCAAGTTGCTGATCTTCAACTTCCGAGGAGCTGCAAAAGTGAGATAGCCATGCTTCTTCTTAATCTGTAAGTCACTATTCAGTAGATTAGTATACTAGTTCATCTGTTTCCGGCAATTTGAGGGGTTTTCCACCTCAACGTCTTCTAGTTCTTTCTTGTTGGTAGCAACGACAACGTCTCTTCTTCTTCTTTCTTATCACCAACAACAATCAACAGAATACATTCACCTTCTATTACCAACAACAAGATCCCTCAAATTTCCCTCTCAATCTCCATCTTCAATATACCCAACCTAGGGCCCGCACTCAGGAGTTACCATCACATCAACGAATAAATACCTACATCCAAACCTCCCAACCAGTCGACGAGACTCACATTTGAAAACTATCTCTCTCGGTCACCCTTTCCATCCCTTTCCATCCCATCCATCCCATCCTATCCTATCAGCACTCAAACACTATAGAACTTTTCGTTATTGCTTGCTGCGAATCCAAACTATTGAGCTTCGATCTAAAACTCAGCTTTTCCGCTTGAATCCAAACCTTCCACACTTACCTTACTCCATCTCAATCTTTATCTCAGTCCATCCCTTAGGTCAGGTTTTGCCTTCCATCTGTTATATCATTTATCCCCACCCCTCAATCATTATCATCCTCATCACAACTTGCGCTTTTTTTTCGAACCCCTAGCTAGCTAGCAAGCTAGCAAGCAAAACTTAACCTCCAACGTCCTACTCATCTTATAGTTCGATTATCCCCCATATCTCATATCCTCAATTCCTCATATCCTCACATCTCCAGCATCCAGCATCCAACCTCTCACTTTTCCCATCCACCCACCCTACAATACCAGATCAATACCAACACCAACACCCATCCCAACCCAAACAACCCATGACCGCTCTCCGCGGCGGCTCCAATTCCAATTCCAATTCCAAAGCACGCAAACCCGCCATTCCCACCACCAACTCCACCACCACAACAACAACACCCAAAAAACGCGGTCCAGCCAAAGGTCACAAACAACAACAACACACCGACTCCCTAATAAAAGTCGTTTCCTCCTCCTTTTCCACCTCCTCCCCAAATAAAGGCCATGGTGTCGAAGACTGCCAATGCGCTCTATCGCATGAAAATCGCGGGATATGTGAAGCTGAACGGATGAGGAAGATACATGTGGATATTAGTATGAGGTATGGTAGATATCCATTTCTTATTGATTCTCGCATTCTCCATCCTCTATCTCTCATCCCCAACCCCATCCCCTATCTCCATCTCCTCAAAGACAATCACACCACATCAAACCAAACCAACCCACTAACTAACCCTCACCCCCACCACACCCAGCATAATACTAACCTCGCCCCAAACCACCGTCCTACTCGTCGGACGCGAAGCGCAACTCTTCACTATCCACAGCTCTCTCCTAACACTACATACGAATTATTTTTCCGGCCAGTTTCCACTCCAATCTCAATCCACAGCTTCTACTACCAATACTAGCCACTTAACACCCAAACCCGCATCATTTTCCCTCCCTTCCTTTCGCATTCCTAAGAAAGAGCGAGAGCGAGGTGATGCGCTGGATGCTGGGAGTGGTACAGGTATAGATACAGAAACACCCTCGTCATCACTAGATACCGAGGGGATTAAGATCGACACCGCAGAACCCAAGATAAAACTCGAATGCAACACAACGACAACTGCTACGACAACCAGTACCCCACCCCAAACACCATCCCCAGAACCTTCGATTAAAGAACTAACAACAACACCATCCATTAAATCCTTTCCCTCGACCCCCTCTATCGATATCAAGACTGATATCAAGACCGAAACACCCACTCCCACTCCTCTTCCTCCTCCACATCCTCTTCCTCTCACCACTCAAACCCAAACCCAACACTATCCCAGCATAACCCCCCTCAACTTCGCCCATTTCCACTCCTGGCTCCTAACCGGCACACTAATCCCCTCCCTCTCGCAACTCTGTGACCCTCCTTCCCCAGACCTCACTACCCAAACCCTCATCACCCTCTATTTCTTCTCTTGCAAGATTTCCTGCGCCCCTTTTAGTTTATTCATCCTGCAAACACTTCTTGTTCATCCTCTTATGATCAGTGGAAAATGGCCTAGTCCTGCTGATGCGCGGCTTATTTATTCTCTTAGCAATTCCAATTCCAATTTCAACAAAAACAACACCCCCAACCCCCTCCGCAAACTCTGCGCCGACTGTCTCGCGAGCCGCAACCCCTTCGAAAACCACAAAGCCTCTTCACCCATATACAAAGAATGGGATGTTCTATTTAGCAGCGCTCAAATGAAAATAAGTCAGGATTTTGCCAAAGCGGCGAGTACGCAGTGGAGCGATGTGGATCCGTGGGCGTGGGGGCAGAGGAGAAGATATGTGGATGTGGGGGGTGTGGATGGGGATGTGGATGAGGATGTGGATGAGGATGTGGATGAGGGTGAGGGTGAGGATGAGGATGCAGTGCAAGGGATTGAGGAGAGGTGGGAGGAGATGCTAATGGGTTTAGGTGGTGGGAAAGGGAAAGGGAAGGGGGATGGAGAGGAGATTAGGGAGGATGGGGAGAAGGGACGATTTGCGAAGAGGGTTGAGGCGGGGTTTTTGATCAGGATGGAGCGTCAGCGGGTGAAGTCGAGGAAGAGGAAGAGGGGTGAGAGTATGGATTTGGGAAGTGATGATGAGGATGATGAGGATCAGGATGAAAGTGATGCTGGGAAGTAAGGAAAGGAGAGAAGAAATTGGGTTGATTTCGAGAGCATGTTGCTTGAGATCCACTGTGCGTAGGGACTCCCGCAGAGGAAAACGGAAAACGGAAAACAAACATAATTAATTTCTAAAATTGTGGTTTGAGCTTGAGATGGACTTAACAATTAGTACATACAGAGAGGGAAGCACAAACGAGGAATCTGCTTACAACGAGATACATAAATATTAACTAGCAAAAGGAGAAAAAATTATTAAAACTGGTATCACTTTATTCATTAATCATTATTCTATCCTCTATTTACGGTATTTCCAGCACCCCTAAAGACATCATTAGTATTTGATTCTGAATTTTGGCAATCTTCAACTTACTTTGGATTGTCCTCCGTAAATTCATCCCACCGTCTAGCTTTTTCGATCTCCTCGTCCATTTTCTCAAAATCATCCGGATCAATCTCAGGTATAATGCCACTTGCTTCTCCACCACCTTCAATAATACCACCTCTTGCTCTCTCCTCATCAAGGTATTCGTCAATCGTCATAGTCGGTAAATTGTGCCCTGCTCTGAATACACCTTTTTGTAATGACTGTCTACTTTCTAGTAGAGTGAATGGTCGTAATGGTTTCCCTCCAGTACTCAATACTGGCCCTTTGTTATTTGAACTAATATCTCTCACATCCAATCGATCGGAGTATTCTGCATCAGGTCCACGCAGACCACCTATTCGCTCTCTGTCATCTGTTTGCGGACCCTCGGGAATTCGTGGACCTATAGGTGCCATGGCCAAGATCTCGAGTTCGAGATTGATAGATTCCAGGGATTGAAAGGCATTGTGCGAACATAAAGCTAGCTTAGCAATTTCTAGTTCGCGAACAGCATCTTCGTCGTTTTGTAGATAGGCTGGATTTTGTGCCAGAAACTGCGATTGTCAGCATATTGCGCCAGACCAGAAAATCCTCAACAAATGATTCGGAATAGATTCCTTTCACCGGAAACCATATATACATACATCCAGCTTCTTCTTCATATCTTTCTCCATCTTAAAATTCGCAATTTTCGCATTTCTTCTCGCATTTGGATCTGTGGTGGAAATTGTGGAGAAAGTAGATGGGGATTCTTGATATTCAGCATATAGCTTCCTCTCCGTGGTGGATAGCATCTCATAGTATCTTAGTTGAGTCAAGAATGATTCATAACATTTCTTTGCCTCGTTCAGAATCAATTTTCGATCATCTATATTAGTTGTAGCAAGTCTTTGACCTGAATCCGCAATCCTGTAAGGGATGACCAAATATCTTGAAGGAACAGTCAGCTTGCTTCCCTCTTTTTCATGCCCATAAACATACTGTATATCACTAGAATTGATATCCTCTAATGTTTCATTTGGACTGAATAATGCAAGTCTATCCGCAAGCTGCCGACATTCTTGGTATGCCCTGATCACATTTGCAACATCTTCTTGATGCTGCTCTGTATTTGTATCCCATGATGATTCTATGGCTAGTCTTTGACGTTCTGCTGAGTTGAAGATAGTCTTTAAAGAATTGTCTGCCATGTTGATAGTAGTACCTTTAAGTAATTTGTAATTTGTAGATACTTGATAGATTCTCAAGGGAAAAGGATGGGTGGGGGGGTAAATGGAACTCAGCCTTGTGAGGAAAGATTGCGGCCGCCCACAATCCCTGTCTGTTTTATCCCAATAACACGTGAGTACGTGATAGCTAGCCTTGGTGTACTTGAGTAGATTTATTTTGAGCTTGCTTGTTGAACTTTGAGATTATCTACTTGATATTCTCCTTAATTGTCCAAATGCCCATTTCATCTTGACATATCCTCCTTTCGTCCTATATCATATCAATACAATTGTTCCTCCCTTATACAGTACATACTTAGGTACTTTCCAAGTTCTTAACTACCGGTACCGGCAACCGGCCTGTATATGCATTTCTGTGCAACCTCACCCTGCAGCTTCTTCTTGAGCCTGAGGAACTGCATTGCATGAAAACAAACATCAAATACATCAAATAATTCACCCTAAAATTTGTGCTTGCTTTTTGATATTAACAATGGAAACTAATGGATCTGAGCAAATAACAAGCAAACAGATAGCTTCTTCTCCAGGTGACGACAATGATCTTTTGTCATTTGATGATATTGTTACTGTTGTTTGTGTTGATACTTCTATAGAGAAAGAGAATACAGCCTTTAAAGACAGGCATTACAATGGCAATGCTGTAGTAGGTGTTGACAGGGTCCCCATTCACAAGGTTCCTCAATCTTTTTACTCCTCTCAATCCTCATTTTCGTCAAAAGGCTATCATCAAGCTGATGCTAGCAAATTGAAGACTCTATTCGAACCTCCATTGAAGAAATCCAAGGGACCAATTCTTGCATCACCACCTGTTTCATCAATCTTAACATCAACTGCATCGACCACCAAATCAAGTTCCCCAGAGAAATCCTCAAGATCTCCAAGTCCTGACTTGATTCAATTCACTCCTCCGAAGACTAAGAAGTCTTTCCATATTCACGCTCCAAAGCTGAATCCTATGGCGCCTACCTTTTCGAGACTGAATCCTACTTCTTCCACATTTATACCCCGCATACCAGGGGACTTCAAGAATAATTTAGCTTTTCGTCACGTCGACGACCCATCACTTGTTGAATCCAAGACCAACCCCAGCGGAAGCTTTCAAGCGATCCTCAGCAAAGAAATTACCCAAGCATCTCTCAACGATAAACTTTCCCTTACTAAGATTGCAGCTATGGAGGTGCAATCACTTTTTCAGGCTGGGGATGCAGCGGCGACGATGCTTCCTTTGACATCTCCTGCTTCACAGCAGTCTGTTGCATCTCCTCGCTGTGAATCTCAAAGTTTAACAGTGTCAAACTCACTTGACGACATTCCTTCCCAACCTACCAAAAAGAATGACGCAGATTCTTCCGTTGCTGTACCATCTATTCGTATCAACCAAGGTTCTTCTAACAATATTTCTTCGCAATTTGTCTCTTCATCTCCGGCGGATTCTTCCACTGCTGTGTCATCTGATCGTCTTAGCCAAGTTCCCTTACCGACTGCGCTTGCCACAAGAACCACTGATGATATGTTCGCAGAACTCAGGCGACCTCTGCATGTTCACGCAAGCCAAACTCAGGTTGACAACAAACACAGTTCTTCCGACGATACAACCAGCATCAATGATTTAATCCGCAGCCGTTCCAGTGACCCCGACCATGATGACATGCCTGATATCGAAGAAGACGATGAGTATGAACCGAATCAACCAGCACCAGATATCAAACGGCTCTCGGCACGAAAGCAAAAGTATACTGCCATATTCGACACATTTCTCAAGGAATCTGTAAAACAACCCAAGACGGAAAATATTTCACATTCCGATGAAGCATTGCAGTCCACCAGATGGTTGATTGAGCAAGCGGAAAAACAGCATATCATATCAAGTCCGAGAGATTATCAGCTTGAATTGTTTGAAAAGGCCAAGAACCAGAACATTATAGCTGTATTGGATACCGGTTTGTATTTTGCAACCTTCTTTCGTCGAGTGTGGCTAATTTTATTAGGCTCTGGCAAAACATTTATCGCAGTTCTGCTACTTCGATACATCATTGACCAAGAGCTTGAAGGTAGAGCCATTGGCAAACCTAAGCGTGTGTCATTCTTTTTGGTAAGACTCATCTGCTCTTTGGTAGATCAATACTTACACAAAAATAAGGTCGATTCCGTAACTCTTTGTCATCAACAACACTCGGTACTCAAGAATAACCTCAATCAGCCAACCGATATGATCTGTGGGCTTATGGGAACTGATTTATCTGATAAAAAAAAATGGAAGAAGCGAATGGATACAAATATGGTTATTGTCTGCACTGCGGAAATCCTACGACAGTGCTTACACCATTCATTTGTCACAATGAGCCAAATCAGTCTTCTGATTTTTGATGAAGCCCACCATGCAAAAAAAGATCATCCTTATGCTAGGATTATCAAGGATTTCTATCGCAATGACACAGGGGAAACTTTTTCTCTGCCTAAGATATTCGGGATGACAGCATCACCTGTTGATGCTAGGGATAATGTCGAAAAAGCTGCCGAGGAGCTCGAGGGTCTTCTACACAGTCAAATTGCTACTGCAGCGGATCCGAGCTTGATGCAATACTCGATCAAAGGTAAGCCTGAGACTATTGCTTACTATGATCCATTGGGCCCAAAGTTTGATACTCCGCTTTATCAACAAATGCTCCCACTGTTGAAAGACAATTCTGTTTTTCGGAAGCCATTTGTCTTCGGGAGAGAAGCTAGTCGATCTCTAGGATCTTGGTGTGTTGACCAGATTTGGACTTTCTGTCTTCAAGAGGAAGAATCGAAGAAACTACAGGCAAAGACGGAGCAGGCGCATCATAGGAGAAGAGTTCCAGAGCCTTTGGAAGTCCTAGAGAAACACAAAGATCAACTTCAGGAAGCTAAAGCCATTATCAAAGATTACAACTTTGCACCACCTCACTTCGCGTCAAGATTATCCGATGACCTTGCAACAAAGGTTCATTACTCGAACAATCTATCTACTAAGGTAGTTGCGCTCTTGAGTATCCTCAAAGACCGATTTCTACGTCCTACGAATGATAAGTGTATTGTATTTGTCAGAGAAAGATATACTGCCCGACTTTTGGCTTCACTTCTCTCCACGCCTGAAGCCGGCACACCATTTTTGAAAGTTGCGCCGCTGGTATGCAATTAATCCCATCCATTAAACCTTGCAACTCTAATTCTTTCATAGGTCGGTACCACCTCTGCTGAGGCTGGGGAAATGAACATCACTTTCAGAACGCAAACCCTTACCATGCACAATTTTCGCAATGGGGAAATCAATTGCCTCATCGCAACATCCGTTGCTGAAGAAGGTCTGGACATTCCTGACTGTAATCTCGTTGTTAGATTCGACCTCTACAACACAGTGATTCAGTACATCCAATCGAGAGGTCGTGCTAGGCATGTTAACTCACGATATTACCATATGGTAGAGAATCATAACGAGGAACAAATTCGAACGATAAAAGAGATCTTGAAACATGAGAAAATGCTGAAAGCTTTTGCTTCTGCGCTTCCGGAGGATCGGAAATTGACAGGCAATGATTTCAACATGGACTATTTTCTCAAAAAAGAACGAACTCATCGAGTCTACACTGTTCCTGGTAGTGGAGCAAAACTCACCTATAGAATGAGCTTGACGGTCCTATCTGCTTTCGTTGATTCTCTTCCTCAATCTCAAGAGTCAGCGCTTCGACCCGACTATGTCGTTACAACCGTCAATAAACAATTCATCTGTGAGGTCATTTTACCAGAAGAAGCACCTATACGTGGAGCGATTGGTCGGCCAGCAACAACTAAGCAGGTGGCCAAATGTTCGGCAGCTTTCGAAACGTGTTTGATTTTGCACCAGAAGGGATACATCGACAACTTCTTACTCTCTACATTCAAGAAGGCGGCTCACATGATGCGAAGCGCTCTTCTAGCCGTGGATTCAAAGAAACGAGAGGCTTATGAGATGCGCACAAAACCAACTCTATGGTCATCTGAAGGGACACCAGGCATATTTTATATGACTGTCTTGTTTCTTGAGTCTCCGGACAGTCTTGATAGAAAATCTCAACCTTTGGGTCTACTTACAAGATCCCCCTTGCCAGACTTACCACAATTTGTTCTTCATTTTGGACGCGGCCGAAATTCACCAGTCTCGTGCGTGCCTCTCGTTTCCTCAATGGAGCTCGTAGGACCCGTGCTCGATCAAGTCAATATGTTTACCCTATGTATCTTCGAGGATGTGTTCAGCAAAGCTTACAAATCGGATCCAGATAGTATGCCATACTTTCTGGTTCCCATCACTTGTCTTGGTTCGGTTGGCGACTGGAAAGGCTGCAACCCCAAGTCTATTATCGATTGGCGTACTGTCGAACACGTCCAAGACTTCGAAAAGAAACAGGCTGATAAACCATGGGATCATAAGCCATGGTTAGGAAAGCCCGATGAGTATTTCAAGGATAAATTCATAATCGATCCTTTCGATGGGTCTCGAAAATTGTGGTCTGTTGGAATCACAAGAGAGCACAAACCTTTGGATCCAGTCCCGCCAAATACAGCGCCTAGAACAGGAGCAAGAAAGAACAACAGTAACATCATGGAGTATAGTTGTAGTCTCTGGGCGAAGGCTAGAACAAGACGAACTTTTGATACTGAACAGCCTGTTGTTGAAACAACCTACATTTCACTTCGCAGAAATTTACTCGATGAATTTGATGGAACAGAGGTTGATACCCCAAAGAAATGTTTCGTTATTTTGGAACCATTGAAAGTATCGCCTCTACCAACTACTGTGGTCGCAATGGCGTATCTTCTACCTGCTATCGTTCATCGAGTTGAATCATATCTCATTGCTCTCGAAGCAACTGAAATATTGCATCTCGATATCCGTCCTGACCTTGCATTGGAAGCCGTCACCAAAGATTCCGATAATACCGAAGAGCATGGTGAAGAGCAGACGAACTTTCAACGAGGGATGGGCAACAATTATGAACGACTGGAGTTCCTTGGAGACTGTTTCTTGAAGATGGCAACATCGATTTCTCTATACGGTTTAAACCCTGACAGTGATGAATTTCGCTATCATGTTGATCGTATGTGCTTGATTTGTAACAAGAATTTATTCAATACTGCTCAAAAGTTGGAGCTTTACAAATTCATTCGGTCAGCAGGCTTTAATCGACGTGCTTGGTATCCCGAAGGCCTTGAGCTATTGAGAGGAAAAACAGCCATGGCACCAAACACTCACAAGCTTGGAGACAAGTCAATTGCAGACGTTTGCGAAGCGATGATTGGCGCTGCTTTACTCAGTCATCACGAAAGCAAATCCATGGATACTGCGGTTCGTGCCGTTACCGAAGTTGTTAATAGTGACAACCACAAAGCTATAGTATGGTCCGATTATTACAAGTTGTACGAGAAGCCAAAGTATCAGCTTGCTGTGGCTACAGCTGCACAAATAGATCTGGCAAGACAGGTTGAGACAAAACATCCATATCATTTTGCATATCCACGCCTTTTGAGATCAGCATTCACCCACCCAGCTTATTTATTTTCTTACGAACACATCCCCAACTACCAACGTCTCGAATTTTTGGGCGATTCGCTACTCGATATGGCATGTGTCAATTTCCTCTTTCACAATCACCCGGCAAAGGATCCTCAATGGCTCACTGAGCACAAGATGGCCATAGTATCCAATCAATTCCTTGGAGCTCTTAGTGTGACATTAGGCTTTCATAAGCATATGCTTACACTGGATTCTCAAGTTCAAAAAATGATTGCAGATTACGTCTCTGACATCACCGAAGCTCTTATCCAAGCCAAAGCAGATGCCAAGAGAGCTGGTAAAGCAGAAGATGACTACGCCCCTGATTATTGGATCACCGTTCGTCAACCTCCTAAATGTCTCCCAGATATGGTAGAAGCATTTGTTGGTGCCATCTTTGTCGATTCTGAGTATAACTACGAGGAAGTGGAGAAGTTCTTTGATATGCATATCAAGTGGTACTTTAGGGATATGAGTATCTACGATACCTACGCCAACAAGCACCCAACCACATTTCTCACCAATTTCTTACAAAAACATATGGGATGTGAAGACTGGGCACCAGTGACTCGTGAAATTCCAGGAGAGGATGGCCGAAAAAATGTTGTGATTTGTGGTGTTATTGTCCACAATCAAGTGGTATCAACTTCCCAAGCTGAGAGCATAAGATATGCTAAAGTGGGAGCAGCGAAGAAAGCTTTGGCGCAGTTGGAGGGCATGAGTGTTCGAGAATTTAGAGAGAAGTTTGACTGTTCATGCAAGGGAGATGTTATTGATGAAGAGGGCAACGTTGAGTTCGTTGAGTTCGTTGAGAACGAGGATGGTTTGACGGGACTCGGTATGGGACCGGGATATAGAGAAGAAGTTGTTGGTGAAATCTTGAAAGAAGTTGAGGCTGATGTGAATGGAGAAGAAAAGGAGAATAATTTTGTGAAAGCTATGGGAGAGGATATGGCGGAGGATATGGGGGAACGGGAAAGATTGGAGAATGGAAGCATGGAGTTGTACTAATGAATAAACGAATGGTGGTGAGCTTCACGATTACCGATCCACCACGTGTTCATGACCACGACAATACGCACGACTTCATCGTCCTTCTAGCGATAAGCAGGCAGGCATTTCTCACAATCACGACGTTTTATGACTTTGTTTTCTTCCCAATCAACGAATCATAACTTAATTTCTCAGTATATAACGCACAACGCACAACAATATTTTCAAAAATTTCTAGATCACCACTAGTTGATTTCTTTTAATTTCTTTTCAATCCAACTTCGCATTTCATTTCATCTCATCTTTGTTCAAAGACAATTTTTCTATCTTATCTTATCTAAATGCTATAACAATTCGTTACTCAATCTTCTTTCTTCTGCAGGAGATAGAGAGGGAGAGGGAGAGGGAGAGGGAGAGGGAGAGGGAGAGGCAGAGGCAGAGGCAGTTATTTTATTTGATCACTGTCAGAAAGTGAGTGAGATACAACAGGATACGATGGGATGGGATGGAATACGATGGAATGCGATGGGATGCAATAGGATACGATGCGATGGAATTTTTCTTCACAAGACATGACATGATTGATTCATTCATGCATGGTATATTGCTAGTATAGCTAGCTAGTCAAATAGCTTTTTTCAATGAATATGACATTCAAACCATGGATAGATGGATATACAGTATATCTCCAGACAGAAACTAACTAACCAAGTAGCTAGCTAGCTGGCTTTGTTTCTTGGTGAATTGACTGATTTGATTTGATGTGATTATATACTATGTACTCGAGTACTCGAGTATAAACTAAAATGAAAATAAACCTAACGAACGCTCGCTTAAAAACACTATACTATGCTATACTATGCTATTAATCCTGTAATGTAATGTAATATGTAATATTCCAAACTCCGCTCAGATCACATCAGATCTGAAATGCCCTGCTTGCTTGGGCGCCATATATGCAATATGCTACATGCTACATTCTTTCATCCTAATCCGACATTATTCGTCTAAAACTATGGTTATTCATCTCGTTGTCTTCTCTGGATGAGGATGATATGAGATACCTATAGTAGAGTAGTTGTTAACCAATCGATCGATATTCAATATCCAATCTCTGCCCCCTTCCCTTCTCACCCATCACCTAAACCAAAACCCTTCTCAAACCCCCTACACCACCCAATACCCTCCGGCCACTAACTGCACATCTGCCTGCTCCATTCTCCCACTTTCCTTCTCTTCCTTTTCCTTTTCCGTTTCCTTTTCCTTTTCCTTTTCCATCTTCACCACCCTTCTCACCACCATCCTCACCTCCATTCGCACTACCACTACAACTACCACCACCCCCCATAAACCTCTCCTGCACCTCATGCATCCCCTCAATCCATCGATGAATACACGTATAACAAAAGACATAGCCCGTCTGACACGCAGTCGGCGTCGTGATTTCCTCCAGGCATATCGGACAGTTTTCGAAGGTCGAGGTGGTTGAGGGAGAAGGCGCAGGCACAACGTAGATGGGGAGGTGGGTGAGGGTTGAGATGGGGGGGTTGGGTGGTTCATCGAGTTCTGAGGAGGCTTGTTGATTTTCAGGTGTGGATTGGGATACGGATGTGGATGTAGTACTAGGTTTGAGTGTGGAAGGAGCGGGTGGCGTGTATGATATAATAGGCGGTGGTAATTCTAGTCCCTCGGTAGCTTTTCGAGATAACTGTCGTGCGAAATCACTCGCGTGCCACCATTCCAGAAACTTCAACGCAAATATACTAGTCGGTAACAACAATTTCAACCCCGTGCCCAATTTCCCCATCGCAAGTCTCGGATCCAGTAAACTCCTAATACCTAAATTCGACCCAGATACCGCAGAGGAGGCATGACTGATGGCTTCAAAAGCTTGGAAATCCGCTTGACTTAATCGCCGAATCCGCGTCCCTATCATCCATAAAAATGGATCCGAATATACCCCAGCCCCGGATTTCGACCCTGAGAATAGGTAGCGCAGGTTAAATGCTAGGATGCTGAAGTAATATGCGGCGTTCACGCTGGGATATATATGTGTGAGAAACCACCGATAGTAATGTAAAAATCGCTGTTTGAGTGTAGGGTTGGCTGGCATGCGTGTATAATTCGCGCCGAGAAGTGCGCGCGGTGCGTTTATCTCGTGAGATTCATCGAGGCGTCGTTTGAGATAGGGGATTCCGACGAGCATGAAGAGATTCTTCCAGATGTCGCTTCGACTCAGTTTGGTCGTTTCTCGTAGATGGGCATTGGCGCCTTGAGAGGTAAGGAGCAGATCTCCGACGGCAGGGGGGAGGGCGCGTTCGCGTTTGAGGGAGTAGAAGTTCTCGACGAAGGAGGAGGAGTAGGTGTGTAGGTAGTGGTGTTCGATGGCGAGGAAGAGTAGCGCGTGTAGTTCGTGGAAGGAGTTGAGGATGGGGAGGAGGTGTCGGGGATACCGATGTGTGGCGATGGTTAGGAGGTAGTGCAGGGAAGGGGGGAGGAGTGATGATAGTTGGGTGGAGGAGAGAAGTTCGAAGAGCGAGGGTTTGTAGGGGTCGAGGGGTGGTGAGGATGACATTATGAGTAGTGGGTGGTGTGAGGTATGTTTTGGTAGGTATTGTATTAGAGGGTTGATATTATTTATAGTGAGTTCGTAATAGACGTTAAGGATTGTGCGAAATCGAATCGGTGGATTTGCGGTAAGGTCTTGATGAAGTTGTAGTTAAAAGAGAAGCCAAAGTCGAGATTATCAGATGAATATTGATAGATAATAAAATAGATATTATTTGTATCTCATATGGCATAGTATATGATTGCAGACATTGTATAGAACTATGAAATAATGTCGAATATTATAAAATTATATCAACAAGTAGCTCTCAAGATATGAAAGGTAGGTAAGTATCTTTTGTCGCGAGGCTGTGATGCCGAGGTTGAGAAAGCTTAAATTCCAAGTTCGGAGTTATGGTGCGATCACGTGCGTTTCGGTAAATTTGTCTATCTAGCCATCGCATCCCCTTTTCAAACCTCTTCAAATCTTTCTAATATATTATCTTCCTTAGAATACATATATATATATATAATTGTAAATACATTATTATATTATACACTCGAGTATTGGATTCCATACTGTAGATCTCTCATATTACTCGAATACATCAATAACCGTACGTACTAATTAATTATCATATCAATCTGTCAAATCTAATCCAATCCAACAACCAATTATATATCCAATTCATTATCAAATCATCATCAATCATTAATATAAAATTACTATGTAATTATCGAATCTTCGCTATATATTGTACTTATAACTTAACTTAGTACGTACAAACAAGTTCCTGATAGTAAGTAATTCCTATCTATCATCTCTTCTCCCCTTGTTGCTTCAAAAATGCTTCAAGCTCGACTCCTATTCCTATTCCTATTCCCATACCCATTCCTACCCATCCCCCATCCCAAGCTGAATAAACCAAACGCCGAGATAATGAGATATTGGCCGTACGTTGATTCGTGGATTAATTAATCTGCTTTGATTGCACTGTAGTTTTGTTAGCTTTATATTTTCCAATTTTCGAGTATCCCAAGTCAACACCAGCAAAGAAACCCCAAAGAAATCAGACATTAATCCCCCCGCACCCCCCAAAAGAAAGAAAACTCACCCATAAACCCTCCTAACAAACCAAAAACACGTCAAAAACCCTACCGTCCCCGTCGCCAACCCATAAGTAATAGCCACAACCCCACAGTAACTAAAAAACAATACTCCACTCACAAACCCCTCAATGTGTAATCTCCTCATATAAAACCACACACAATACATCATAACCCAAACTGCTGAACCCCCTCCAACTAGGAAGGAATGCCACCACCAATTATAATCTTCGGCGCAGAGTTTGATGTAGATGGTTACTATTGTGACTTCTGCAATTGTGATAATGAGAAGAAGTGTTATGAGGGATAGGAAGCCAAAGACGTAGTAATAACCGGATTTATCTTGCCAGAGGGATTGAAAGACAAAAAGGAGTTCGATGAATATAACCGCAAATGGAATTAAGCCAGCTAGGAGAATGGAAGAGGGAGATCGGATGTACCATGGTTGGATGGGTACTTGACGAGGGATTAAGGCGGTCTTTGTGGGAGATTCCCAGGCGCCGGAGCGTGTGTAACCGTAATATGAACCGGCATATACGAGAGGGAGCTGAATGCAAAGCCAGAGGAATATAAGAGCGATGAGGGTACCGAATGGAAGGGCGGTACTGGATGCTTGGGCCCAGACGAAAAGGTTGAGAATGAAGACTAAGGAGAAGAGTAAACCAGGGAAGAGGGTTGCTGTTACAAGAGTATTTTTGCGCCAGTTGAGACCTCCAAATGTTTTGTAGACGCGTGCGCTGAAGTAACCGGAAAAAACTCCTGCGAATATAAAAAGACCGATTCCGACACTGATAAAGCCACCACGGAAACTGGGGTTCAGTATACCCAGACTACTGAGGGAGAGAAGTCCAAATGCCATAAAGACGAGTTGCATTCCAGAGCCAACCAAAGGGGCAAGAAGATAACCATACGGAGGTGGACGAAATACATCTCCATGAAGTAATTTCCATCCAGTAATATCTTCCAACTGTTCGTCATCAGAAGAAACATCCGCATCGTTTTCGGTATCAACCTGATCCAGTAAACCAAGTCCAATTTTCTCCCCAGTCTTTGGTGATCTTGCTCCACTGCCAGGTCTAGATCTTCTCTTTTGTTTCAACTTTCCATCTTCTCCCGAGACATCCTTGCTGTATGTTTTGATATCTCCTCGAATCGTTCTGGCTAAGATCATAGCCACGATACCACTTAGAAGTCCAGAGATGATCAAAGAATTGACAATGGCTAACCAATGGATTCTTGAACCTTCCTCTTGATTCACAAAGTATAGATCCCATCGATTTCTCCATTCAACCTTTTCGTCTTCTCGGAAATAAACAGAATATGTGTATGGAATTTCCATTGTAGCTCCATCATCCAAATCAGCTTCTCTTTCCGGTGGATGATATGATGAAAGTGGATATGCGAGGGCGGATGAAGAATCGGTATTATTCGGAGCCAGATATAATTCAAAAGGTGTATCGACATCGTTCAAATCCGCAGGACAACCCGATTTCACTCTTTTCTCAGCTCCAACACTCTTAGTATAAACTTCGAATCCAACAATCACCTTTCCACCCCTTTCTCCATCTTTTCCTGGGGCCTTTCGATATCGAAGAACGATCGTAAGATGGTTGTTGATGAAGTATCTCGATTTACCAGTTGGGGAAAAATCTTTATATCCCAATTTGAATCCGGCAGCGTAATACTTCTTACTCTTATCTACCGTTACAAAACTCGTTGCTCCAGGCAAATTATCCACAATCCATTCCACAACATATCCATCCTTGACCAATTCCTTTGCGCGTTTGAGATCTCTTCGACTGACGGTTTTCGAACAGAGGAAATTACATTCTTGATCTTTTCCCATGACCAATTCGATATCCGATTGTGTGATTCGGTCTCCCCGCAGAACTTCTCCGAGATTCAATGATATACTTTGGCCGCTAAGTAGAGAAGATCCGGCATGGCGGATTCCAGTAGGAGGGCAGACGAATGGGAGATCGTAGTAGGCATATTGTAATTGTGTATTATCAGAATATACTTTATTGACCAGTAGAGGAATTGCTTCGTTGTCTTTGTAACTTTTGATTGACCAACCTAGAGGATTGAAATGATAGTTAGATTATTTTCCTGAGCCTCAAGTCGAGAAGAGAAGGGGAATGAAATAGTAGTAACATAACATACCTGGTATGTAAAAAGCATCCGTTATTGAAATAGCTAGAAAGAAGAGTAACCAACTCCATATCCTCATTGAAGAATTGGTAGCCATATTATTTGTAATATTGTGTTGAATAGATTATTCAAAGAGTGTAGTGAGTGAGTAAAGGATCGAATTTCCCCCAAGCCTTGAAGTCCGTAAGGTCCGTAGATATCTTTCAACGACGGTCGCACAATACGGAGTTGTTGATTTCGAAGGTGGATAGATAGTCTTATCGAAGAAATGGTTCGATTATCGCACGTTGAGAATTCCCTTTTCCTTTTCCTTTTCGTCTCTTGTAGTAGAAGTGGAAATATGAATCACAACTGCCCTGCCCTTCTCTTCTCCAATCTCTGGCCAAGACGTGTCGTTGTGTTGTTGTATCGTTGTGTCGTATCGCTCTCCTCTTTCTTCAAGATGGCATAAACCGTAATATGGGGATTATATTCAAATCAAAAGCTTAAATTTTCAATTGAAGGATCAACTCAATAACGAGTGTAATTGGTACCGAGTACCTCTCTCTGATGAATTCGAATGGCGATACAATAAAGTATCAGAATATTTCGTGAATGAAGTAGATAGAAAGGTAGATGAAATGGATGGGATGAATTGTTTACTTGAGGCAAACAGATGTGAAAAAGATCTATTGAATTAGAGCTTCCACAACTGATAGTGCAGCTGCAGGATACAAGGTGATATAAACGGAATTACCGGTAAGTTTATGGATAAAATGATATATCTATCTCTCTCATATGATTGGTACGGGAATTATCTTTAATATCTTAGTATACTCATCTAGACCTTTTCGAATAAACGACCATCTCCTTTCATCCGACGGGATACCGGATATATATAAGATGAATATTTCCTGAATTATATTCATATACAAGTACTTCTTATCTAGCCTCAATAACGACAAGACAACAAGACAACAACGATAACAACAATACAGGTAACATCAAATACCTACGATACTTTCATCAAGTCTTTTTAACTTTCTACAACCTTCTTTATTAAATCAGACAACACCAACCAATTATTTCCTATCATCCATCCATCCATCCATTCATTCATCCACAATCCAATTCGGACATCCCCTCCCTCTCTCCCATATCCTCATCTACACGGCATCATATGTATATGTATATGTATCACAACCAAACCCGTGGTTGCATGTCCAGTCCGAAAGCCTAGAAATGATGAATCCATCCATCCATGTTGCTTGCATAGGTATACATACATACTGCACCAGCTGAAGTCGTCGCTTTTTTATACTGGTGGTGGCTTGAGATATAATCGAGTATACTACTCAGTAGACAAGAGCCCAGAACATCAAGTTGATGATTAGCACCTAACCAAGAAGTAACGTAGGCCTCTCATCAATATATTAATACTGGAGTAATACTCATTTCATCCAGAGAAATATCTATAAAAATTGAGGTTCCGAGCTAAAGTTACTTACGATCAAGATCTAGCCTTCATCTTTCCGGTTGAGCACAGCTTCTTGGTTCCTGTCCGTCTACTTGGGGCTTTTCCTAATATATATCACGTGATATTTCATCAGGACCGGTATTTCTTGGTTGCAGGTTTGATATACCCATGGTTATCTCAAGTATAATGGATGTATAAAAGCAATGGGAATCGAATTGAAGTAACTGAGGGAATCCAATTGGTAGAGGTATGGGGATTGCAGGACATCCTATACTCTATTCATAGTCCATCTACCTACTTCATCTATTCCATCTACATACCGGTACTATGAACCACTAGCCACCCCATCTTCCTCAAAGCCCCCCTAACCCATGCTTACATAATCACATAGCCCATTCCAGACTTCACAACTTCACCCAGATAGATACCCCTCTCACTCATCAACTGAATATCAAAATCCAAGCCTCCCCTCCGCCACTAACAATAACACACTTTCTATCCTTTTTATCCTCCATCCCATTTCCATTCCCATTCCCATATCTCATTATCCTATCATCATAAGACATACAACTGTTACTGTTACTGTTACATATACCGGTGTAATACATACTCATAAAAACCCCACATAACCCTGGATAAACTTCCCTTTCGCAACCCACAATTCGCAGCCGCAAGCAAGCGCCAGGATTCTTTTATGGAGAAATTTGTGGGGGTTTTTTTATAGGGAGATGATTTTCTAAGTGGTCTTTATCTACTGGTATCTGTCTATCTATCTAGCTGCTTAGCTGTTTGTCTAGAATCTGGAGCGGTGGAGTGTTAGACTCGTATATTACAGTGCTATATGGTTATGGTTATGGTTATGGTTATGGTTATATGAAAGGCGTACTGGTAAGGTTGAGTATCGAAATGGAGATATTATTTCTAGAGTTTCTGTAGGTAGAAGAGGGTACAAAGGGTGGGAAGGATAGAAAGGGTAAAAAGAGTTTTGTGGATTTATTACCCGTTTATGGGATTATATGTTGTGTTGTGTTGGTTACTGTTGGTTACTACTGTACCAATGCTGATATTGAGGCTCTCTTTGGATTGATATGCATTTAAAGTGAAGTGTGAGCTTACCGTTCTTTGATCATCTACTCGAGTATTGTAGGTACTCCTCTTTGAGTATTTTAGTACTTCATCGCCGTTTGTGTGAATGTAAATTATAAATGAGTTCTTGAGTTCTATATAAACTAACTGTTGGCTCTACTTTACTCTACTCTACACCGCAATCAATCTAATAGCAAAGTGAAGTGAAGTAAAGGAAGTTCTTGCACTCACATAATCTTCATTTCATCTCATCCGTTTACTCTACTCCAGTATCAAGAGGATCTATCTACATACATACACTATAGTATAATTACAATACCCCTATTTTCTGGTCTTCGATATCATACTGTATATATTGCAAATACCTCTCTCCCTCCTTCACTATACTGTACATATAAAATGTCTTCATCATTATCATCAAATCTACAAAGAATAAAGAAATTCTTGTAAGTACTCGTCTATCCCTCTAACCCTCTATCCCTGCTCACCCCTCTCCTCTCCATCAAACTCAAAAATCTAACATCCTCCCCCTCCCCTAGTAAACGCAAATCCTCACCTTTCTCATCCTCATCCTCAACATCAACATCAACATCAACATCAACATCATCCCGTCCAAACTCCTCAAACACATCTTATTCATCCACTTCATCAAACTCCACTTCCACTTCTTCAAATCCATACACATACACACCATACACACCAATATCCACCACCCCATATGCATATACACCACATACCGGTACTTATAAATACACTACCTTCAAAAACTCCAGCCCAAATCCAATATATACAGACGCAAATCGAACATCAAATCGATTAATATCATCATCAATAAAAAATATAAATTCTGCGCAAATATCGATAGATGTAGGAATAGAGATAGGAATAGGAATAGGAATTCATAAAACGGAATGTTTTTCTGTTGAGAGGGAGGAGAGGGAGGATATAGGGAATGGGAGTGGGGATGGGAGTGGAAATGGAGGGAGTGGGAATGGGAATAAGTACGGGGTAATAGGAGGTGATAGGGAAATCGGTGATGATTGGGTTTGTTGGTGAAATTTTATATACTTTATATAGCGGTATGTTCTGGGATTGGGATTAGGATTGGAGTTAAAGTTAAAGTTGGGGTTGAGGAAGGGGGTTAGAGTTTGTGAGGTGTTGGTATTGGTATTGGCGTTGTGTTGTGTTGTTATTATTGTCATAGCTACACTACATCGGAAATGGGGATGGGAATGGGAATGAGAATGAGAATTAGCTACTACAGTATGTACCTTCAAGACTATACATACTCGAGTGTACTCATATATATATATATATATATATACGAGTAGAAGGTATATTGCTATATAGAAGCCTAGGATATGATATGATATGATATATCGCCATTTCAAGTTAAATCAAGCCAATATTTTTATATTTACATATTCATCATGGAGATTTTAAAATAGGAATTAGATCTAGATCCGTATTTTCTAGCATTATATTATATTATATGTACTCGAGTATAGCGAGTAAGATACCGTACATGTATATAGATATTGAAGATTCAAGAAAATCACAGGCACTGAGGAATAAGATAAGTAGTCGAGTAGTATAAATTATAATTTGCAAAGAAAGGTCTTAAGTGAGAGGGATCCAAAATGCAAATGCACCATACACTATGCAAAGAAGAAATACTTGAGTATAATGATGGAAATAGAGAGTTGAGGAGATGATAGGGGAGGGAGTTACTCGTATAGTAAGGTTGTATTGATATTGATAAGGAAATGGAAACGGAAGAGAAAATGGTAAGGTTAGATGAGATGAGGGGAAAGGAAAACAGAGTACATGTTATTAGTGGAAAAGATTGGAAGGATACCAGTACTAAACTGTTAGTCTGGAGTCTGGATATTGTGTAGAGTAGTGAAGAGAAGAGAAGAGAAGAGAAGAGGGTAAAAACTTACAAGCGATTTTTAGTTGGGATAAGTACTCGTAGTAGAGACTTATTTATTGATACTGTGGACTAGACTAATGTTTGAGCTTCGAACTTTGAAGTTGTGTGGTGGATAGTGGATGAATACTTAGCGAATACTTGATGCATATGAAAGGTATACCTAGTTTTGTGAAATTCATACTAGGTTTCATCGATTGAGTTGAGATACATGCGAAGATTGTGTATTGAGGCTGTTCAAGAAGACTTACTTAGTTGTCAGAAAAGGTAACTTGACTAGATGGTAGTAGGTTAAATATCATTCATCAGAAACTCACACCAGTAGTGGTATCTCATAAAGGTAAAGAATGTACTCCAGTAATCAGCTTGTATACTCATAAATCCTCCGAAGCCCCGTTTAGTGCCAAAGTGAACATTTTCAATATAGAAAATAACACCCACCTCCTAACATACATACATTCTCATCATCTATAAGAGAAACGCACATTCACTATAGAACCTTTTAAATAAGTACCAAATTTCCCTTCCTCCCTTCCTCACATTCTCGAAAATTCTCAAATCTCCATGCTCTGCTCTGCCTTTGAAAGAAATATACCAACTCGATAATATATATCTAGTTTCTCTG